AATCCAGGAAAGGGTGCAAGTGGTATACAGTATGAGGTTGCACAAAGGCTCTCCTAGCCACAATTACTACCTCCTCATTCAGCAGGAGTTGTGAGTCCAGGAGACCCCCCAAATTGAGCACCAGGTCAGTCTGCAGTGGTGCAATCCCATCCAGAACTAAATATATTAAAGTCCTGGAATCCAGAGTGCCATGCACTCAGTCTTATCAAGTACAGCCAAAGTTATTTTCCCCCATCTAGATCTCCATAGCCTCCAAGCACTGCAAGAGGGCAGTGATAGCATCACATGTGTCACCCTGGATGGAGATGAGTTGAGTATCATCAGCTTACTGATGGTACCTTATCCATGATGGTGGATGATCTCATGATGTTAAATAGGAGTAGAGAAAGTACTGAAACCTGTGGGACACCACAAAGCAGCAGCTGTGGACTAGCCCGCTCACTGCCCATCAACTCCGATTGGAAATCGATTCTGGGGAATCAAAACCAGGGCAAACTGCGCTGCCCAGCCCCAAAGGCCATAGTCAGCTCCAAAGGATACCATGGTCAGTGGTATCCAAGGCTGCTAAAAGGTCAAGGAGACAAGGATGCATGCACTATCCCTATCCTACTCTCACCAAAGATCATCAACAAGTGTGACCAATGCTGTTTCTGTCTCATAACTGGACCTGAATCCTGACTGGAAGGGGTCCAGAAAATCTGCTTCATCCAGGACCCTCTGAAATTTTCATACAACCATCTTTTCTATCATCTTCCCGAAAAAGGAAAGTTGGGAGACTGGATAGAAATTGTCTCTTGACAGGATCAAGTGATTTTTTTTCAGGAGAGGGTGAACTAAGGCCTCCACGAAAAGTCTCAGAAACATCCTCTGCTGCAGTGAGGAATTTATTCATAGCTTGCTTGTCACCATTCAGAAGGCTTTCACCAGCCAGGAAGGATAGGGATCTAACTTGCACTGACAGCATCAAGGACCCTGTCCATTCATCAGGTCCAACAGTAACAAACTGCTCCCAGATAACTGGGCAAGACCTTTCCCCAGGCATCTGTAATGGACCTTCACCACATATGGGTTCCAATTGGGAATGAATCCAAATGACTTTGTCCATTAAGTGATCCATAAATTCCTCTGCACAGCCCTGAAAATGATTACCCGAACCCCCTTGTTCCTAGAGGGACTGGTTATTCTGAATAGGGTCATTGGACAACACTCTGCAGATGCAATAAGAGCAAGAAATAATGTAGTTTTGCCACTCTTACTGCCATGAGGTAGGCTTTAATAGCAGCTCTAAGTTGTGTACAATCGGATTCATACCTTGTTTTCCTCCAGAGGTGTTCTACTAGTCTCTTAGCCCTTTTCAAAACCTGCAGCTCTTCTGTGAACCATGGAGAGTGTTGGGAGCGAAGGGTCAAGAGAGGCCACATGGGCACAATTCTATTCAAAACCTTGGTTGCCCTTTGGTTCCAGGATGAAATCAGAGCTTTGGCAGAACCATGCAACAAGGCCCCGGGATATTCCCCAGTTCACTCTGGAATCATTTGCATCCATCAGTCGGAAAGAAATGAATTCAAGGAATAAATATATTTGCTTACATAAAATTATATTTATATCAGCATGTCCCATTAGCACTGTTAAAAACCATTTTTGTGATGGACATCACAAAAGAACAGAAAAATTAGCACAACTAAAAGTTCAAATATTTATTCCCTCTATTTTAGAAAGGAGAGTTGGATGACAGAATTTTAACTTAGAAGATAATTATCTGTTATACATGTTAGAAAGGAGACTGTAGAATCTTTCTGAAGCTTGAGGTTAAGGAACTACAAAGGATGAATCAGAATATTTATATGAACATAAATATGCCCATTCCTCATTTAGCGACCACGTTCTGTTCCAATGAACAAGTCATTAAGCAAAATGGTCGCTAAGTGAACCATGCAACTGAAATAGGGAGAGAGTTGCTGTGAAGATTACTCCAGTGTGTGGTGTCAGGTGCACAAAATTTGATCACAAATATACACAAGTGGGTTAGAAAATGATTTTTTTAATAAACATCATATTTGTGAATGGTCATAAATCAAGGTAGTAGCTAAGCAAAGAGTGAGTATATATTTCCAAGTAGCTATTCACACAATTCTTTTTCCTGGTGGAAAGGTTTCTAATAAAAGAAGAATAAAATTAATTCTGACTGTACATAATGAGTTGCTCCCACGGTCCAACATTTTTTTCTTGAAGGGATTATGTCAGTTCTGTATGTTTTATAACAATCAGTAAGAAAACAAGTTTTTAGAATAAGGGCAGAAGGGAAACTTGTGACTGAATTTGTGTCTTCTATTCAGATATTATATATCATCTCATATTGAAACAAATGTCTGGAAAATATAATTAGTAAAATAATTGCCTTTTTCAGTTTTAATGTGCATGACAAAAAAGGGCTGCTTCCATAGAATTTTCATCATTGCTTCCCAGGCAAAACCAATTTTTATCATTTACCGTGTCATTCCAAAATTCAGATCCAAGAGTTCCTGTTAGAAGGTGAATTATTATAATACAGACTTCAGACTCAGTAACATCAAATCTAAGAGTGAGGGGGGAAACCATTTCAGTTTGAAAGTTCCATGACTGCAAATTTTTACTCAAGAAGAAATGGGTTCAAAATCATAGGAAATCTTTAAAAAAAATTACAAGGTTAAAATTAAAAAGAGAACAATTGTATGGTATGCAATCCCCATTAGCTGAACTCCACTGCAAAATTCCTGAGTGTCGTGAATTACAATCAGTAATTTAAAAGAGGGAGACTAGAAATATTTTGAAAGCAATATATAATTCCTTTAACAGTTGCTAAACTAATCTCACACAAATCCAATTTAAATTTTTAAGGCCAACTTTGTATTAGCCTCATGCAATCCTAGATCAGGGGTGTCAAACTGCTGGCCCGTGGGCCGGATGCATCATAGCGAAACCACGCCCATTGCTGGCAATGGCAAAAAAGTCACGATACGTCGCAACACATCATGTGATGTTGCGAGTTTGACACCTCTGCTTTAGATAATCTATAGCAGTAATTCCAAACTTGGGTTACAGAGACCAGAAATGATTAGAAATGATCACCTCTATGAATGAAATTTTTTTTTAATTTAATTTCTCTGTTATGACCATCTCTGTTATACTCATGTAAAATCATATCTGAACAGAAAATACAGTAATAGGTTATAAAGTACTTTGAGATGGAATATGTATTTTAATGGCAACATTTTAGTTTTATTATTTTATTACTTTAAAAAATAGTACATTTTACACTTAGGTAGCCAATCATATGTCTAAAACAAAGATGTAAAGTTTTAGTCACATCAGATTCTTTAAATATTTGTTTTAGACTTAGTTAAGGCACCAGGCTAGAAACCAGAAACTGTGAATTCTAATCCCACCTTAGATAATGAAAAAGCAGCTGGCTGACTTTGGGCCAGTGACTCTCTCTCAGCCTAACTTACATCATAGGGTTGTTGATGTAGAGAAAATAGGAGGAAAGTATGTTTGCCACCTTGAGTTATTTATTTTTAAAAATGTGGGATATAAATAAATAAATAAATAAAAAAAATATTTTTCAATAAATCACAAGAAAAATCTATGAAGATATTTCATTTAATTTATATTTACTAGTACACACTTAAATAATGAAGTTGTGAAATTTGCATGAAATCAGCATGATCTTGCATGAAATCTGCACGATCTTGCTGTCTCTTAATTTAATGAAGAAGCATTTTGTATCTTAGAAAACAATTTTCAAACTGTAAAAATCTGTTGATCATAGTGAATATGTAAGATTTATTTTCCCCCAAAACTCAAACCTCACATGAAATCAATTGAAGTTTACTGCTTCAGAAAGTGAAGAGGATCATATAAAGGCCATACATTTGAATATAGGCTTCTTTTACCTTATTACTTATAATGCTCTAAACTGAATTTGAGAAGTCTTGTATTTTAGGAATTTGTTAACCATGATCTTAATGCTGGTTCACACACTGCCACCACTGCTTGATAAACTGTGGGTTGTTGATAATTATTAAAATATAAAACTATCCTTTAAAAAACAACAGTGGCTGGATTCATACAGACTAAATTGACACGAAACAAATTGCAATATATATATAGTTTTGCATCATTTGTGTACCCAATGCTTTTTAGCCTTGCAACCAAGAGATGAGAGACAAAGTGTATAAACACTATTTCTAAACTAGTAGTCTTACCTTTGGGATGAAAAAGTTATACAATTAGCAGCATGAACCAATGCAGCCAAGCAGTGATTTTGTAGCTTTTGAAAAAAGAAATCCTGATCTGACTTTCACACATCATGACCTAATTAATTATTCATAATACGACAGATACTGTTAATTCCATAGTGCAGTGGTGGCGAACCTATGGCACGGGTGCCAGAGGCGGCACTCAGAGCCCTTTCTGTGGGCACGCGCGCCGTCGCTCCAGTCCTAGGCCTTCAGCTGGGTTTTATAAAACCTTTTCACTTTAGGTCTCTGCCGCCGTGTGCAAAAAAAAAAAGAAAGGTTCAATCAGTCAATTTCAACTTCTCGTGAGAAAAAAAAAAAGATCTTGCAAAGTTGGAATTGACTGATTGAACTTTTTTGTACCACCCAGTCTGCCATTACCACTGCAGCCACGCCCACCCAATGGGCCACACCCACCCAATGGGCCACACCCACCCAGCACCGGACGATGCATAAGTGGGTTTTGGGTTGCAGTTTGGGCACTCGGTCTCCAAAAGGTTCGCCATCACTGCCATAGTGCAACAGACTTTATCAGTCAAGGATGGAAAGGTGTTATTTAATATATTTTTTTACAATATGCAAAATCAGTTGTTATTGTATCTAGCTAGCACTGAATTTAAACAACAGATTTAAACAATTAACACTGTTTATATCAGGTTTCATTTTACAACTGTAAAAAGATAGATAAGATGGCAAAATATTTCTCTCAGCTACATTACTTACATTCCAAAGCGCATTGTTCCAGAGACATATGTCTGCCAGTGTGCACAGTAAAACATGAATGTCCCAGCAAAACAGCAGAAAAACATCCAGTCAGGATTTGTCCCCAGCTGCACAGCGATACACGTTCCCAAAACTACGAAGACTGAAGATAAAATAAATTAAAACTAAGGGGTAGAAAATGCACATATTCGCTAATAGATCATTATGGCTGCTTAATAACTTCTAATATGTAAATAGGCCTCACTTATATTTCTGATGGATTTGGGAAAGTATAAAATTTACAACAAACATTTCCTTCAAAAGGCATACAGAATTGCCTCCAACTTTTGTAAGTGCTATCAATTATATTTTACACTTGTGCAAGATTAAAAATAAGATTTCCACAAATGGTTAATATTTTGTGCTAGCATAATGACATTGTGAATAAACACAAAAAGTATACATGGCAACACCTCTTAATTAACTACATTGGGAACGATACTAGATGCTGAGTTGCATGTGAATTCACTCACATTAAAAATTTAATTGTGTAAAAGCACATTTTGGCAAACAGTCTGTTCTAGTGGTTAAGGGGCTGGCCTAGAAACCAGAGTCTGTAACTTCTAGGCCTCCCTTAAGCATGAAAGCCAACTGGGTGATTTTGGGCTGTTATTCTCTCTCAGCTTAATCCATCTCATAGGGTTGCTGTTGTGGGAAAAATAAGAGGTAGGAGCATTAGATATGTTTGCCACCTTGAGTTTTATATGCATGTATGAATGTGTTTGTGTTTACATAAATGTAAAGATAAATAAATAATGGGGATAAAATCTATTAATATTCAATTTAATAAGTGTTCTTCCCAGACATGCATAAAATTATACCATTAGCAATATTTGACTATTTACAGGAAATAAATTTCAACATCTGCCTTTGTTATCCTAGACCCAGCGCCATCCAAAACTTTGAAGTATTCAGTCTGAATAGTAATCACATTTCTAAAGCAGTTTGAGGTGAATGAGGTACCCTTAAACTTATTAGGAGATTTAAAGATGTTATGGATTTACTATGCTTTCTGTTTATAGAAGTACTGTGCAGCTTTCCTTCCATATAGTGAAAGATGTCTGGGAGGGGTGGAGACTGAATGGGCCTTCTGATAGTAAGGTGAATAGCTAACTAATAAGCCATGCCAATTCCAGAGATTGCCATTCCAGAAATATAAGTGGTGAAGGAGTCTAGAACTGTTCGTTAGTAGTAAGAATTTATTTTTAATTAGCATTGGAAAGGTTTTTTTTTTAAAAAACAACAACAGTGTATTAATTTATTATAGTTTCTCTATAGATGTGTTGTTAGACAACTCTCACCTCATTAGAGGCACAGGGCAATATAGCAAAAATTTATTGTAGTGAAACCCTTGAAACTATATGTCAGGAGTTAATATTTCTGAATGGTCTACTATCACTGTTATTTTGTTCCTTTCAGTCATAAAAGTAAGCTAGCTGCAAGAGTTTGGATCTTTCCAAATATAGTGCATGATTCTTTTTAAAATCAGTTTGGTTCAAATCAAGCCTAGTTTCAAATATCTTATTTGAACTGAATTTTATCTCCTTTTAATCTTAATATTGAATGAGAACTTTCTCTATATTCCCCACTTGATAATTCTATAGTGGGGAATGTGGTCTGAATGATAAAAGAAAAAAAGTTTATTTGGTTCATTTTCATAATTCAGTAACATGATTCCAAATAGAAAACAAGAATTAGATCACGCAGTTGTACTACTCTTTGAAACAGTTATACACTGTTTTCTATAATAAGCTAGAGAAAAGTTTTTACTCTTATTTTTTTATAATTATAGAAAATATTGCAGAATTTTGAACATATGTGCAATCTAATTAGGAAAGGTACGGTCTAGCCATTGGCAGCAAGCATTCTAAAAGGATGCTAATGTGCAATATTTTCAAGTACCATGCATCCTCCTTGGAGTACTTTATAATATTTATAAATATTCACAATAATTGTGACCTTTCAGCAGTTTTGCTGGTTATATTATTAACAGTTAATCTCTACTAAAAGCACAACCCAAAAACAAATACCAGTCCAATTTGACAAGAGATCATAGAAAGGCAGGAGAAAATATTAAATGTACAATACCACACAAAAATATCAACTATGTAATTTGTTATAATTTATTCCTAGACAAACAGCAGCTTATGCTGCAGTAGCTACAACAGCATTCTTACTAAGATACACAGATAAAGGCCTTTGCCTATTTCTTTCCTATCAGAGTAGAGTGCAGCAAAGCATACAATTAAATTGGGCAGAACCATTAAAGCAAATATTACAACAGGATGATTTTAGAATACTCTTTGTAGTTTGGTATAAGCAGTTTTTACAAAAGGTGTGTGTGTGTGTGTGTGTGTGTGTGTGTGTGTGTGTGTGTGAGAGAGAGAGAGAGAGAGAGAGAGAGAGAGAGAGAGAGAGAGAGAGAGATTTGGAGTCAATCTTGACAGCTGGCAATTTCTTGTACAAATCCACAGTTTTCTTGGCAACATTTTCAGAAATGATTTGCCATTGCTTTGATCCTAGGGCTGAGAGTGAATGCCTGGCCCAAAATCATCCGGCTGGCTTTATGCCTACAGCAGGACTAGGATTCACAGTGTCATGCCTTTAATCACTATGATAAATTGGCTCTCATCACTTTATTTAGTAGGGATAGCTTAACAGTAGCTTAATACAGTGGCAAGAAAAGATAAATAATCTTTAGTAAGAATTTAATTCCTGGCTTATCAACAGTGCATTCCATTTTTATGTCAGTCTGAATGTCTAACAACAATGACAAAATGGTCCAAACAGAAAAGAAAAAATTGTATTTGAACCACTTCTTCATGATTTAGTACATAAATCACAATAGGGGTGCACTATGATGATTGCTTTGGGTGAAATGCAATGAACTATTCTATTCTTGAGTTACAGTTTGGAGATGCATCTGAGCTCTGGGAGCAAAGAAATTATCTGATCAAAAATAGACATAAATAGAACAAAGGTGAGTCTGTCACAAAATCTGCATGGACACATATCCATATGTGCGCGCAGGCACACCTGAACACATCCACATATAAGCAAATTCTGTAGCAAGCCCCCTCCTCCAAAATCCATATGATTTCTATAACTTTAGTTTTGGTTCACCAGAAAACTTCTTAGGTTATGCCATAAGGCTCCAGGGCTGCAATTTAGAGGGGCATCAGAACATGTTTTATATGTCCATGACATATACAGAAAATTGATAAAAGAGAAAGAGAGCCACTGAAAGCACGTGGTCTGCAAGTATTTTAATTTTGGTTCAGCTGTTCTTTCTCTTTATAGAATTTTGGAAATGGTTTTAAGGAAATTTAACTTTTAAGGAAATTTAAATATTCAAACAAGTATTTCAAGCATTCAGTCTTAAACTAAGATTTAAACTACTTAGGATGGAAAAAAAGGGATTCCCTTGCATTGAGTTTGACGTCTGGTGGGTATATAGTCTGTCACTGTCTTATTGCAGGATAATTTTGTGATTCTCCAGCCTAATCTGTAACTCTAGCATTCCATGGAGAGTTCTCTATGGAAGTACTAACCAGCCAAACTGTGTTTACCAAACAAAGTCAACCAGAGGCTACAGCCTACTAATATGAAACTAATCAAATGTAGAACCTTTGTAAAATATATTACCAAAGTTCTGACCTGTGGCATGAAAATTATACAACCAAGGTAAATTATTCTCATCTTATTAGAGCATCAAAAGATTTTAGAAATTTCTAGTCCTCATAAATTACTTAACAGACCATTATCTAGTGCAGTACCTGTGGACAATGAATCACAGCCATGGTCAAATAGTTCTCCCAGAGGACTACTACTATTGGTTCTTCTTGCCTGTTTCCCATCTATTGCATCCAAAGACTGATAGATGAAAAGGCCACAAGCACATGCAATATATGCCCAAGGAGGTGCCTAAAAGAGAATGTATGTAAAAAAGCAGCAACATGTAAATAAATGTGCAGGTCTTAAATCAGGCATGATTCTCATATAGTGACAATCTATTCTACTGCATGATTAGTTATGAAGAAATGCAAATAATATTCCCTCTTTTATTCATATCCAGTTCTGAAGTTTCTTGCATACACAAAGGGTATTATAGCAAAGAGTACTAAGATTAAACCTAAACCACCTGCAAGTTTTGTAACTTAAAGGATTATTGCACGTTTGGTGAACATGCACAATATTAGATTGTTTTGTTTCAGCTTATTTATTTAATTTGTATGGCTATCATCTTAATAAGTGACTGTAGGTCAAACTGCTGGCCTGCGGGCCGGATGCGTCACACCGAAACTGCGCTGACCCCATTGCCGGCAATGGGAAAAAGTCGCTATACGTCGCACGATGTCATGTGACATCGCGAGTTTGACATGCCTGCTCTATACCATGAATAAATTAAAAATGAATTCCGTTATAGTACAGAAATTAAAAAGCAGCTAACGAGAATGTTACAATCCATGGTGATTAACACAATCAGGAGACAGGACCCTTCAATACTCGGGGCCATGCACCCGAGCACATATCAAGCTCTTTAGGGCCTTATGAAAGGTCAGCAGGGTCTGGGCTAATCTTCAGAGGAAGCATTTTCTATATAGTGGGCATTATGACAGAAAAAACATACCTCCTGCACCCCACCAACTAATCTTCTCTGGCTAACAGGACCCAGAGTATATCTATCCTGCTGGACCAGATTGGACAGTGGAAAGAACTGGGGGAAAAATGATCCTTCAAGTAAACTGGTCCCAAGCCATGAAAGTCTTTAAAGGTAGCAACCAACACCATGAAGTGCATCCGCAAGACACCAATAACCAATGCAGCTCAGGGGCTATTGGTGTTACATGTGCTAAATAACTGACACTATTTACTAAATGACACCATTTACAGTGAAACCAGCCACTGTAATTTGTAAACTAGCCAATAGCATAGCATTATATATATATGAATCCAGCCACTATGGTTTGTTCCAAAGTTAAAGCTCAGTCCTTAACGTGAGCCAGAGGTTATTTAAGAATATTCAGCAATGACAGCCAATATATTTATTTCTATTTCTGAATAATAAATATAATAAATCCAGGAGAATCAGAAATAGCCTTCAAAATTTGAAGGCAGCCTTGATTCTTTTTCCTGATTTCCATCTTATTCTATAGCTGGATAATAAAAGGTCACTTCTTGATGGCACAGCATCCTTTTAATCTTTAATATGGTGAAATGGCATTCTTATTTTAAATATAAATTATGTTAGCCAAACTATTTAGTAGGGCAGGAACTATTGTGCATATAGGCTACAGTTCTAATACTCAGAATAACCTCACTTTCAGTGGAATATATTTTTGTGTTACCATGCATATGTTTGCATTATAACTCTCCTAGTCTTAAAGTTCATAATAAAAGATTTAAAGACCATATCCTTCAAGCTTTTAAACTGCTCAGGATTAGACTGTCTTTCATTTTTTTAAATGAATCAACTACATAAAATGTTATTATTATATACTATACTTATTCATAAAATTATTTTTCTGTATTTGTTTCATTAGTTCTCCTATCTGATTGTTTTCGGTAAGGATATAGCATCAGAAAAGTTAACAATCAAATAGAAATGGGGGCAAGGGGGAGGATTCCTCCCTGTTGTATTTCAATTAAGAGTACTAAATGTGCCAAGCATATAAATTGTGCATCTGTGGCCAAATTAAGGATACAATAATAAAAATGGGATTTTCAGAACTGAATTTGATCAAATCTGAAACCTAAATATATTTTTCATAGCCCGTCTAAGATTAAAACTAAATTTCAAAGATACTGAACTGCTCCATGATTAAGACTTTCCTTTTTTAAAAAAATAGTGTCTTGTTCCTTTTTTGCTCATAACAAAGTTTCTGCCTTTTAGTGAGTTCTATAATCACAAAGATAAATCTGTTTACCTGATATATTTATGCATATTCATATAACAGAGTTCTTGATTCATAAAAGCTTCCAGAATCTGCCTATGTGAATTTAGCTGCCACTGGCAAAAATCTTTTGGACCTGAGATTTTATTGCTAATGGTGGAGGAAGGAACAAGAGTCAAAAAGAACATCATGCAACTTAGCTTAAGGGAAAAGATTAAAATATATTTTATAGCCCCTTAGAAAGACAAAATTCATTCAATTTTGTATAACACTTCAGTGAAACTTTGCTTTAAAGTATCATTTCCAATTATAGTCTACCACCTTTACTTTTTTCTCCCATTTCATTTAAACCTTATTAAAAATACACATAAATCTTTTTGCCCTCTTATGTTTATATTTACATTATCTCTCTCTGGTTTTTTTGTGTGTGTGTGTTTTTGTGTGCATGGTAAAATGTAAAGGTGATTTTAATCAATGTAGCTCTTCTAGTATTAAAATTAAATCGATATTCAAAAATCAATAAAATAACAAATATAAGAACTATTGATAAAAAAAGTAGTATGTTTGTTTTCTAATCTGAGAAAGTGTATCTTTACTGCATTAAATCAGAGAAGATCTAAAATTTTAAAACCTTAACAGAAAGCAAACTGTGGTTGGGGTACAAATCCATGTGGAGAATCATAATCCATAAACAGTTTCCAAATTAAATTAAATTCTGTATTGGACTTGTTTCTGACATTGATGCATGTCTGCACAAGTTAATTTGTCCTTCATCTAAAGGAGGAATTATGATGCATATGGTATGCTGGCACTTGTTATCATAATCAAAGCTCATTCTGTACTTTGTAAGAATATACAGTTTGATGTCTGGCAGAAAAACAGCTGACAGGAAAGAAAATTAACCTTTAAGATCTGTTTCATTCTGTAACAAATCATCATCCAGGATTCCAACATTACAGCAAGTATGAGAAAATGATCCAATTTGATTATTGCATTATTAGCAATTTTTGAAATTGGATTATCAGCACTGAACAATATACCAAAGATAAAATATCTTAACGCCAGTTTTCTCTGAATGTAATATTTACAATCATCATCATCATCACATCCTGAGCTAAGCACATTGGGCTACAAGTGTACTCTACAGTTCACTATATTTGCGATATATTTAGTATTTGTCTTCCATTGATATTCCCATTGTTGCATATCAATTTTTCTGTTGAAATGCTGCAAGCATTTGAATGTAAAATATTTAAACATATTTGGTTTCTGAATCACATTTCAGTGACAATTTGTAAATAAGCCTCAAAAGATGTTCTGGGTGCTGTGTTATATTTTTTTTCAGCATACATGCAAGTCTCTGAGCATTCCATCTTGATTTTAAAACTCCTTTTGAACTATGCTCTTTATTTGAAGATACAGGTAGATCTCGCTTAGCAACTGCCTCGGGCAGCAACTCTTCCAAGTTACAATAGTGATGAAAAAGATAACTTTGCAACCAATGCCCACATTTATGGCCTTTCAGCATCTCTTTCTCAATCACCATTACACTTAGCACACATTAAGCTGTGCCTGACCCATTTTTCCCTAACCTTACCCTACCCACAGAGGGTAGAGAGATTGCCTAAATAAGGAATCTTTTCCTGAGCCTTTCTCCACAACACAGCACTTTCCAAAATGTGATAACTTCAAGTTAACAAGCTCAGCTCTGGGACCTTAATTAGCCAATTTGCAGCTGCTGCCTGTACCTGCCGAAACTTTATTCGCTTTCATACCTTCAGCTTTTTGTTTGCCTCCTAAGCATCTCGGTGCACTAGGCAAACTAGCAAGCATATTCCTCCCATTGTGAGCCTGCTTACCTTCCTCTACAATGAATGTAAACAGAAACATTAATTTCCTTCTTGTTAATTATCCCAGCGCCAGGGTGAGCATTCCAAAGGGTGGGGAGAGTAGGGAAAAAGGAAAGCTAAAGTAAAATCAGAAGCACAGTTGGAATCACATGATTTCTCACTTAACAACACTGTCACTTAGCAGTAAAGCTGTCAATCTCAATTATAGTTGCTAAACGAGAACAAACTGTATTGTACTAATGAAGGTCTGCTCATTTCAAGGATAGGATAAAGTTGTCACCTTTGTTTTATTAAAAAACAGGATTGCAATCTACATTTATATTTTCAAATTTTTCTACATGTTCTCCTGAAAATAAATGGCTTTCTCTTTCTCTGTGTGTATCCGATACTTTAAATATTCTGTTTGTAATTGAATAATCTCATAGAGTGTGTATTTCTGTTTATATTCAATTAAAGCTAGTTGTACAAACCTCTGGGATCCCTTTTACAAGAGATTTAACCTAGTAACAGAGAGTATGATCCAATCTATAATCCAAGTGCGATATCTGACTTAATATAGTTTGACATTTGGCATCATGTCTTCCTAATGTTTTTGTGTCTTGCAAAATCTTAAGTAAAACCTTCAGTCTTTGTTATTGTTAACAAAGTTAATTGATTGTCTCTACCATTTATTTAGCACTTTATCTTCAATTGTTATTGAAATTATTGAAATAGAAATTCTTGGTAAAATATTCTTTTTACCACCTATATTTTTCATAGCCAAGTCAATTGTTTCTATCTTAAAATATCTATCATGTTTTGCCAACAATAAAATTTATTTTATAATAATTACATAGTTTGAATGTCAACAGAACCTAGTAAATGGTTCTACTGGATAGGTAAAAATCAAGGATATATAATGTATTCCTGTTGTTTAATATATTTACTTCTACAGATAAATGTATAAATAATGTTTGTGGGAATGATAATAGAGATATTATCTATTATTTACTATCTATTATCTACATAGAGAAATGTATCTGTTTTGGTATACAGGATAATGATACCATATTTTTAGTAAAAAAACTCAAATGATTTGCAGCTATTGTCAGATGGACTGCATGATGCAACAATGAATATGGATCAGAATATTAATGTCTCAAATATTAAGATAGTTGTGTTCAACAGGAAAAATGGAATGTACAATTGAAAGTTACACACAAGTGGCAAAAAACTAAAACAAACAGTAAGCATTCTATCAAGGAAAAATACATATAAGTATGAAAAAACCAGAAATTTCAGGATGTGCAAATAATGGTACAAAGGTAATGGCTAATTTCTGATGTGAGGAATGCAAGTTTGTTGAAGTAAAGCAAAAAAGAAATAATATATTTATTTTAGAAATGGCCATCAAATATATAACAATTTTAGGTACCATATAGTAAAAAATAATACAATTGAAACAAAATGCAAATGCCACAAATGTGAGGAGAGCAATTATTAAAGGCAATCAAACATGTCAGCACCCTAGCTCAAAGCCTTTAAACAAGACCCATTTGGGGGCCAGATGCATTTGCCGGTGGGGGGGGGAGGGATGTTCCACACACACACAAAAAAGATTCTTCATTAAGAATATGCTTCTATTCACTTTCTTATATGGAAGCTGGAGCTCAGTATGTAAGGAGGAAAATAAGTTGGAATTCCAAAGTTCTTAGTTGATTTTGGGTGCCTAACATTGGAAAAATGATCATAAGGTTGTTTTAAAATTCTTTTTGCGTTTCTGTTCTTTTAAATGCTACTGTTGCCATTCTGTTATTCTCTCCTCACAGTCTGTAAGGAGAGGAATGGATTATAAAAATTGTAAAAAAAATTTAAAAGATTCAACATTTTTTTATCTAAAACATCCTCATCAATAGTCATTAGATATTAAATACTAGCCTCCAATTATAATATCATAAATAATAAAATGTCAGCTCTGTACATAGAGGGTAAAAATTTTGAAAAATCCACTGTAGAGCTACAAAAATGATCTAGTCTTTTGAAAAGATAAAACAGGAAAATATAATTAGTCTTTTAAAAAAAGTAATGTTGGAGAAAAAGCAACCAAAGGAGTTAGCCACCTGTAGCCAGTATGAAAGATATGGTTAGATTATTTTTTAAAAAACAGGTTCCTATCAACGCAAACAAAATGCTGTGCGATGCTAACAAAATTAATTCTGCACAAGCATCAGTCAGGGATGTTAAGGTACACACTATCTTTTCTGAGGATAGGATATTCCTGTTTCTCATTAAAGGTTTAATTAGGAACCCTATTTAGTAACTGTTATATAGTTCATGAATAAAAGCAGTAGAACAACTATCTCAGCATAAACTAGCTAAATGCTGATTCACTTGGGCCATATAATATATAGTATATTAGGGAGTTTTGATTGGAAGCAAAAAGTTATTGATAGCAAGCAGGGATAAATGTAAAAAGTGTCTGGAACTTTTTAAAAATATTGAATCTTATCCTGAGATTGGGTGGCAGCTGCACAGTACCAACCACAACACAGCTGCCTTAAGAAGCTACAAACAGGTATGTCCTCACACACTCCAAACAATTGTTTTATAAATCTGAAGATGTCAGCCCTTTGAGATAAACCAGAATTGAATGCCAAAGTCATGAATACCAAAACTACTTTTATTACAGGATTACAGCCACAGAATTTTGCAACTCCTAATGTGTCTCCCTCTTCCCTCCTTACTTTTATTCTAAAGGGAATAGGAAGAGTCAAGTCAGAGATACTTTCTCAAATCCCAATCTATTTTGTGCTATTTCTCTTATCTGATCATTGCCTTAACTGTGGCTCTTCCTCCTTTTCCTCAAGATAATTTCAGTACATTACTGAAGCTCTACATTGCTTTAATGTGTGCATTTCATAATTTACACTGAATTAAAGGATAATATTTTGTAATACATTTTAACTGTAGATGCACTTTCCCTACATTGATGTTTTTCACATAAATTGGGCTACAATTCCCATAATATCCAGCTAGTAAGATCTTGCACACAAAGTAGTTTAACCTTTTTCTCCTCACAAATTTGAAATTTCACAGAATATTAACAAAACAAAATTAACAGTGATCCATTAATAGAAATAAATCCTTGTCACAAAAAAGTATGAGAGATCTTAACTTACCTGTTCAGTAGCTGTTGGACAGTAAAATACTAATATTATGGTTGTGCAGATGTTTATTATGAGTCCAACAATTGTAATCAGATTAGGGGCAATCCAGGCTGGTACTCTTCGCACTAACCACTCCCAATAACCTTGCATAAGTGGCTCAAGTAGGGACCGTCCAGCACTTTGATATTTGTGTTCTTCTAATCGTTTTAACTGATGCTTTGATAAAGGCGGTGTTGGCAACTGAAACAATTTGCTCAATGTGCATCCTGTCGAAGGAACGTGACCATAGCGTGCAGGGGATTCCAGATGCAATTCCCCACATCGTTTCTTCAGTGATCGATTCCCACTCATGGATTTATTCACTTTAAAGTTTATATCTGACAAAGTTTAATTGTTGTAAAGAAACATAAGATCCTGGAAGAGAAAGTATTTAGTTTAATATAAGAGGCAAAATGTTGTAAAAATCTGAAGTGTTCAATTGCGAGAAGTACAATAGCTGAAAGTCTAGAATATTTGTAAATACATTAAACTAAGCTATAGTTGCATCAATTTTAATATTCCTTTCTTTTTTAATAAATGTAACAGTCTAGTGAATAGTGTACAGTTTGAGGCTTGTAACTGAGGAGACTGAAGAACAGTCATGGAGAGTCAAAAGATAATTATGAGACATTTATTTCAGCCCAACCAATCTTACAAGTTTGTTGTGGGAGTAAAATGAAAGGATATCCATAACTAAGCTGCCTTAAGATCCTGGAGAAAAGTTACAATATAAATCTAAATGAGCATAACGGGTGCCTTGGGTGCAATTCCAAAATATCTAAAGCATAACTTGAACACCATCGACATTGATAAAATCACCATCTGTCAATTGCAAAAAGCAGCTTTTCTTAGCATTGTTTACATCCTATAACAGTATGTTTAATATTATTCAACAATATATCTCTATCCACGGTACTTGGGCAGTACTAAATAAGTGAACAGAAATGCTAAATCCAGTCTAAATTTCTGGTTGACTGTGCAGCCAACAATAAAGAATAAAAATGAAAAATAATTACATTATAGAAAGTCATCCCAAAAAGTACTGTTACTGATTTTTACTAGTTAAGGTAAATCTTAGTACTGATTAGTTTAGTAATGAAAACACATTCAAATACATGCTTCCTATCCTTTATTTTCAATCATATATTGAGAGAATCAAGGCCCATGCTAATTATTTTAAATTTAACACTTATATTATTCTTATATCCAACACTAAAACCTGAGTATATTTTCATAAAATTGTTCATAAAAACTGGTCAGTTCAAATAAATCTATTTGATAAATTAATATAAAAAGAATAGCAAGGAGTAATATTCTAATTGCATTACAGACAGACAGTCTGATTCACAGTGGTAGTTTCTCAACTATGTTCCTCTCTCTTGAAGAAAATAAATATATCTGACCCTCATGTTATGTTTTAAGACAACAAATGAAGAGATGTTTGTTCATCCAAGACAGTATATGATAACTACTGTATTCTAATATCAGACTTCATTTTACATTATTTTCAATTGTTTTTGTTGTTGAGAATGAAACTGTATTTAAATTTTCTTTTATAGCTCTTAAGGAATGCTTTTAAAATATATTTTTATAGTGCTTTTCTAAAATACTTTGCATTCTTTTGGAAGAAAATGAAGTATTAAAACAAAAGAATGGATTAATAAGAATAATCCATAGGACAAGATTTTTTTCCATAAAATTTGGACCTAGGCTATTAGTATGAGAGGTAGTAACAGACAGAAGATCAGAGAGAGAGAGATTTTATAAATTCACTTTTTCCCCTGAAAAGCCTTTGTCCCTTCCTCCAATCTATTTAAAGTGGTTAGTTTTATATTAATACCATTAAAAATCTGTTTGGTTAGAGGAGCCTTCAGAGAAGCATGGAATATGGGTAAAATATCTATTGGTAAAATGTCTTACTTCTGATCGGAGTCATCACAATTTTTAGTAATTTTCACAAAGTCCTGTTCATTAAATTCTTAATCCTATTTGCTTTGTTTTAATCTTTGCCCTCCACTTAAAGTGTGCTACCCACATTCAGTAACTTCTTGCTGCTCCCTGGAAAGCACTATATATGGATTACTTTAGGGATTATATTGAAGATGCACTTCCGTCATGACAGATGCATTCCAAAAGAGGGAGGAGACTGGAGCCCCAATGTTAGGAGTATTATGGGCTGCAATCAGGAACATTTCTATATTGTAATTATAAGACTATTGGCAGATGGATAGTTTTAGATTTCCTCTATTTAACACTGGAAAGTGTGTGTTATGATGCAGTTTGTGCTTTAGTTTCTGGATAAAGAAAGATTTGAGCAAGAGTTGGAATTAGTTTGAACATGATTTAGCCTGAGAAATTTTATTAATTTCAACAAATATTTCTTTCTTCCAGAAGCTCCTCTTCAGAGATATGTATGGTAAGCTAAATTCAAGACAATGGAATAATCATGTAAACTACTGCATATTCCCAATTGTTTAAAGTTATCAGCTTTTCCATTTAACAATTAAGTTTCACGTAAGAGTATTTAAAACAGGTCTCTACTAATATAGATTTTATTGCTTTCTATATAATCACGAACATATAATTAATATATATTTTGCAGCAAATTAGTTAACGGATTCATTTATGTCCCTAAATCTAAGGCACTCACTCAGTAAATACAACTACAAGAAAATGTAATCAATGAAAAGAAGTTTTTGCAATTCCCTTAAGCGAGTTACATATAAAAACACTTCAGAAGAAAGCCTAAGGAAATCTTAAGTTACTCTTAATGTAACTTAAGTGACAAAAATACTGAGAGGAAAGAGTACTGTGCTTTTATAAATAAGGTGTGTTTACAGAATGTACAAGATGCCAATTTTAATTTTGCATTAGAGGAAAGCAAATGTGGCAATTAGCACTTTGCCCGAAACGCTGATGCATCTCCACTAATACCCCAGCAGTAAAAAAAAAATTTGAACACAAACTCAAAACAGATATTTCAATCTTGAAAATGCCATATCAGGCCGAGGCACATTTGACTTTATGCGCGCCAGTCGGTACACAAACTCTGCTTAGTGGAGGAGGAGGTTGTTTTGACTTGTCCCCCCGGGCATTTGAAGAACGCCTGCTCCGATTACATCGCTCCCTCCACGAACTGACTGACGGATTGCCAGCCTGTCCGGGCGGGCATAAACGGCAGCAGCCCTCTCTCTCCGAGTGGAAAAACAAGGCAGCGCAAGCGACACCCCGTCTCTTGCGCAGGAGCCTACGAGGCTCAGGAAGAGAGAAAAGAAGGACGACCATTCCTCCCCCCACCCAAAGCGAATAACCTCGCGGCAGGTGAGGCAGAGACTCACACGAGTCAACCTTCTTTGGCTGAACTCGAAGGACACCCGACGCCGGCCAGAGGCCAAGCTTCTCCCGCCCAACAGAGCCAATCCTAAAGCACACCAAGAATACCCGGCATTTACCTTAACCAGCCTCTTCGCCCAGGAGGCGCGTTTACGTCCTTTTTTTTGCGCCTGCCGTAAATAAGCCGGCTGCGTGGTTGCTTAGGAAAGGCGCGCGACTAGAACAGGCAACTAACCGAGCAGGGGGGGGGGCGTGCGTGGGACGCCCGGAGATTGGTGCTTTGATGCGCATGGGCAGGAAGCGGCAACCACAGGCGGGGGTTGGGGAGGGGAGAGCGCGAGCTCTGATTGCTTCCCCGTCCTTTCCCGTCCCACTTCTTATATAGGCCCTTCCCCTCGGAGGGAGCCGGAGCGGTGAGATGAGACGGTTGCAAGAGAACGCGAGGTGATCAATCAATCACTCACCTTGTCTGGGAGGCTCGAGTGTGAGAGCGCGCTTCGCCAGCAGAAACAACGGGGTTAGATCCAGTCAGGCGCCACCCTGCAGGAAGAGCGCTGCTTTCTCGGGCCGGAGGAGGACGCTGCCGACGGGCTGCTGGTGGCGGAGGTTAAGTTTATATCATGCTAGGCCAGGGGTTCTCAACCTTGGCAACTTTAAGACTTGTGGACTTCAACTCCCAGAATTCCTCAGCCAGCTTTGCTGGCTGAGGAATTCTGGGAGTTGAAGTCCACAAGTCTTAAAGTTGCCAAGGTTGAGAACCCCTGTGCTAGGCAGTTTTTTAAAGTCGAGGATATGTCCGGGGTGAGGGCGAAAGCTCAAGAAAAGTAATCGCTGGAGCTGTTGTTTATTCTGTATTTTTCAAACCACCAGGAGAAGAGAGAGAGAGAATATAGTGTTAAGTTACGGTGGTGCCTGAGAGAGGGGAGGACAGGAGAACTTTCCCTTGGGAAATAGCCTTCTCCTCCAGCCTCTTCCCAATCTGGCTGAACTACTTGGCTGAAGCAAAGACCCTCCGATTCAGGTGTTCCCGACCGACAGTTGCTAGTGATAATAATAAATTGGCTTTATTCAGCTATTTTGCCCGTCTTTCCTATTTTCTCTGGTTAAAACGAAAGAAAAACCAAGTATGGGCAGGTCCTAAATGTGAAACTACAATAGCTACTTCTCCATTCTACAGTTTCAAGCTTTTCTCTAAAAAAGAGAGTATTATTGATAATGTAATTTAAAGATGCAAATTGTTTGCTGTGTTTAGTTTTCTCCTCCAATTGATCCAAATTATTATATAGAGGTTTCAAATTTTGAATTGCATTACAGGGAGAGAGAGATTAATAAAAAGATTGATCGATAACTGGCTGAGATTTGGCTCAGGACTGAGTAAATGTTTCATTGAAAAGGACCAATTGAGTTTCAAAATTGGCTGCAGAAAATATTGATTGCAGTAGGGTTTACTTTGACTAGTTAAATAGAGAATTTCATTGGCATCCATCACCTCAGTTCCATACAAGTCACAATGGATGCCATTTACTAAGGTACAATATGTAATAAAGATGAGTTAGAAGTCAGGATAGAGTTTTATTCTCTACAGCTGATAATATTTCTAAATAATTGCAGAATCAGTCAGACTTTCTCACTGGTTAAGGCAGCCCTTATTTGCAGGTGCTTTTTAAAGTCTTAAAAAAATGGAAGACAGAAAAAATAAGTTTCTTTTCATTCTACCCATTACCGAACCATATTTAAAAACAGAACACAATTCATAACCATGATAGAGGAGGCATAAATGTGGTTGTTTGTACTTTCTATTACAAAATATAAAGTTTATATGCCAAACTGTACAGTATTGGGTTCCACTTATTTTTAGACTAAAAGGTTATCAACATTATTATTTGATTTTTCATTCCTCCACTTCCTATTTTTAAGAACATTCACACATGCTTCAAATAGTTTGTTCACTTTATCATGGGTTTTATACAACAGCTTTCTTCATTTGAACTAGAGTTAGAAAGGGAAGCTGAAAATACTGTTTCTAATGAAGTCCTGATTCGATAATTCACTGAAAAGATTGGACTGGAAATATTTTCAAATACAGAGCAGAAGGATAGTATATTATTATAATGAATTGAAACAAAATAGGATGATATAGAAGTGTTGTTATAAATACATACAATTTATTTGCTTTCAAGGCAAGAAGAAAGAAAAAAAAGTTGATTATTTATTTATTTATTTCAGTATTTAAATCTGTGGATCATTTTGAAATGTGGTGGTTTCAACAAGGACTGAGTTTCTTCCCTTCTGCCCTGGTTATTTGCTCGTCTGCTTCTTTAGTGTTTCCATATGTTATTGGAATTTTCTTACACCATGTTGACCCTCTGGTACCCTATATCAGGTCAGTATGCTTTGCATTTTTGCACTGTAATTTATGTTCTAATGTTACATCAATGAAACTTTTCTTACTCTCCTGTTTTTTGCCCTAAAGGTTTTTTAAAAATGAAGTTAGGTTACCTCCCCATATCAAAATGGATAGAGTTTATTTCATAATATACTCAAAAGATAGATAGACATGCACTTATAACATGCACATATAGCAATAGCGCTTATACTTATACCACTTCATAGTGCTTCACAGCCCTCTCTAAGCGGTTTACAGAGTCAGCATATTGCCTCCAACAATCTGGGTCCTCATTTTATTGACCTTGGAAAGATGGAAAGCTGAGTCGAGCCAGTCAGAATCAAACTGCTGGCAGTCAGCAGAATTAGCCTGCAATACTGTATTCTAACCACAGCACCACTACAACTACATGTCTTCACATATGTAATTTATATACTGAAGTGATTCTTTCCTCTTTCCTTTGCTCTTTTAATTAGATTTGCAAAAGGTTACCATTGAAATTGAGGTGGCAGAAATCAAATGTATTTCTGTGTTTATTTGCTTACTTTAAATATATTTTTCATTCATATAATGTTTTCCAAAATAGCTTGTCTGTTAAAAAATATCAGACCAAATATATAATGGGAGAAACAAGGATAAGTGTCTTAGAAATGTTCTTTGAAAGCTCCTTGAACTTAATTGGAATGAAGAAAGTACAGGAATACACTGGTAGTTTTGTATGTTCCCATTCATTGTGGAACGTCACGATACAGGCAATTCTCAACTTAACAACCAGAGTTGAAGTTATAATGGACTCCACCAAAGGTACTTATGAGTCAATTTTGATGGCTGCTCCTCCTCCACAGTCACATGACTACATTTCACGCACTTGATAACCGGTCCACATTTATGGCCGTTTGTAGCATCCCGTGGTGATGTGACCATGATTTACAACATTTTACTGAAAATTGGCATTTACTTTCAATTTTGTCAAAATCATTTGGTAGCAAACAATGGGTTTCATTTAATTATTGTGGTGTTTGCTTAATGACTGTGGATTTGCTTAATGACTTCTGCAAAAAAAAAAAAGGTTTACCCATTTTATGGGCATTGCAAACTACAGCTGTAATGGCAGGCTGCCTTATGGTCATAAGTCAAGAAGTATCTATAAAGATGCTTATTGGATCATTCCCAAGGTGTTCACAGGCCCAATATATTTAATTTCAAATAATGTCAAGTTTTATCATCTTGGTTCCTTTGGTGTATATTACAACTCTATATATGATGAATATCTATCTGAACTTTCATTTACTTCTGAAAATATTGCATAGAAACTTATTCTTTTCCTCCTCTCTCCACCACATCCAATTTTTTTGCTTTATTAAAGTATAAATTCATTATTATTGATATTATCAATGATTGATATCAATTACTATTTAGGACTTCAGTGGCATCCTTGGCTTTGACTCTGGAAGACTGTTTTAGCTCAGTGTTCTTAAATGAAGCTGAGGAGAAATATTAAGACTCAGATTTATGCCTTATCAATTTTAAGTCACTCTGAACTGACCACATAAAACATTGTAACTGCTTGTGCTATATAAATATTAGCCATTATTTACAAATCTGCATTTCCTGTTTTTAAATGTATATGCTTTGATAAACATAATTGTGCTTAGTTTACTGTATAATAAACTATTTCAATACAGTTTGTCTGCATCTGTCTTACTGCCTGACAAGTTAGGGAGGTTCCTTTCTGAGTTTTTTTTTCTCTGCCCATTATGCATCTGTGGGCTAAACCCTCTCTTACCTGATCATTCCCTGGGAAGGAAATGGTATTGGCAAACCACTATCCTGCAAAAATCTATGTAGTTATCAAATAAATCTTTATTTTTTACTTATACTACATCACTTATCATTAGTGTCAACATTAATAATGGGTGTTGTGTATTTTGTAAGTTTTGTCATTCTAATTGCATAGTAGGATGCTTAGTATCATATGTTGCTTACCTTGCAGTGATGCAGGGGCAATGCCTCCAGAAAGATGCTTTTTTGGAATAATGTTATGCTTTGCTTCCTTCTTGGGTAAGTACAATAAAAATAATTCTGGGTTTTTGAGGTTGCTTAGATGTGGGCTTTGATGAGACTACATAGATGAAGAAATTTTAAACTATAGGAAAAGGACATTCACTGAAAGATGTTTGGGACAATGCAGTTGGTATGTGCAGTTGAGACAAAAACAGTACACTTTTTTATAGAGTTTTAAAGGTCAAAACAGTTATACAGAGTTGCATCTATTGTAATGAAATAGTCTGAAAATCTGTTCAAAAAACCCCTGGGCAGAGTAGGGGAGCACAGAATGTTAAGCTATTACAGGAATAGCTAAAGAGTATCTCACTCTCCATTTATGTTCAGAGGATTTAAACTATAGTTACTTAACTGTAGTTATTGAATGGCTGGATTAAAAAATCATGGTTGGCAGGTTTCTCCAAACCCCTTATACATAGCATGAAATGAGTCCTCATACAGTTAATTTATTTCTACATTTCTTTTATTATGTCTTGCATAAAAGACTACTATTTTCATGTGGCTATAATTGTGCCTTAGTCTTCATTGCATTCAATATCACACTTCTCTATTCTTACTCTGTTTCAATTGTTCATTGACAGCTTTTGCCACCATATATGTTCGGTACAAACAAGTCAGTGCTTTGAACCCTGAAGAACCCAAGATGCTCAGACTAAATAAGGCTGGCTTAGTGTTAGGAATGGTTAGCTCTTCTGGGATTTGCATCATTGCGAACTTCCAGGTTTGTGCTTTGTCTTTGATGATTGAATTACAAAAGTACATATCTTCATCATAATAGCCTATTCTAAGGATCTGCCCAAATGAAGGTTGATAAGAAAGGTATGTGTTACGTTGTGTGACATTGGGAACATCATTGTTTTAATCCCACCATTTCTTCCATGCTTCCAAAAAAACAGGGAGTAAGAGACAGCACAAGATGCACAATATATTTTGAATAGTATGTGTCTACTTGGAAGCACCTTTAATTGGTATTGATTGGCAATCAATCAATCAAATACAATATATTTGGATAGTGAGGGTATTTCTATATCTATTTTTTAATTTTATTTACCATAAGCAATGGTATGAATCAAATAATGTAAGTTTCTTAAGTTTTTGGGGAAAAACTGTTGGTATTCGGAATGGTTTTATTTTATTTAGGCCAGATAATATTTTTAAAATGGATATATTTTCAAGCAAAATACCACATTATTAATATAATTACAGTTAAAAAGGATCTATTTCAGTGCAAATAAATCTCAGTGTCTGAGAAATGTTTTCTCAGAAATAATAATTTAGCAGAATAAATCAGTCCTGACAACTAGAAAGCTTTGAGAAAGTGTAACAAATACAGTATTTGGCATTTCTGGACTAAACATCAGCATCTTTTACATATCTCATAAAATAGTGTGCTCAGGAACATTTGCTGGTAATGTTCTTTATTGCTTATTTGGTCTGTATAATTTTTCCAAGCATCAAATATACTTTGTGTGATGAACACTAGGTGTCAGTGTAGCCCTCAAGACATGGCTATTCCAGCTGGCAGGACTGGCCTAAGGGGTATTTTAAATTTGGTTTTTAAATAATTTTAAAAAAAAGAAAGGCCTATATTAATATTTTATTTTAATCACATTTTAAATTTGTATATTGTATTGTTATTCCGTTTTAAACTGGCTGTAAGCCGCCCTGAGTCCACTAGGAGAAGGGCGGGATATAAATGTGATTAATAAATAAATAAATAAATGAAAAGAATGAGAAGAAAGAAAGAAAGAAAAAACCCAGTGATTAAGAAGAGTGTAGATAAGTTACTGCACATTTAAAACCTTTTCCCCTTGAATAAATACTATGACACTAACTAAATGTAACTAGATTGTAAGCTGTTAAAAGCTGTTTAGAGATACTTATTCTGTGGAAAATAATTGATTTTGTTTTCAAGACATTAATTATGTATCTTATCAAAATTCTCTAGTCTAAACTATTTTTTTCTGGTCTAGGAGGCATCCTTCTTTCCATAAAGTAAACAGACTGTTGATGCTAAATATCAAGGTTAATTCCAAGTCTCTCATTCCTCATACATTTAAGTCTGAAACACAAGAAGTATTTTTTAAAATACTTTATAAGTATATTTATTACATTTGTACTTCTTTTCTCTAAGTTTTGTTCTATAGAGTCCAATGGAATATGTTAAGGCAGAGAAATAGCAACTGGCCAAGGTAATTTATTAGATTTTGTGGCCAAGTATGTATTTGAATCTCCGCCTCTTTATTCTCAATATTCCATTCTTAATTCCTTCACCATAGAACTTCATGAAGAACAAATGAATTACAAATGACTACTCAGAAATAGGTGCAGTTTTGAATGTGATGTTAGAATCTGGCATTTCTTATTGTGATGGCAATAATATTTGCTATTGAGATTTTACATTTTGGCCTTAAAATGAAAAATACTTGCTGCAAAGTATTCCTTTAAAGCCAAAGATAGATGACCATTTATAATGCTGATTTTGGGAGAAAGAAGAGTTCATATCCTTGAACCTTCATGGAGAGTTTTTGATTAGTTACAATAGATCTCTCAGAGTTAGTCCTTGTGAAATATATCAGAAAACACATAATGTAGAAAGCTGTTTGAAGTTAAGCTGGTCTTTATGCCTAATGATCAACTACTTAGAAATGACACGAATAGCATGCTGATCTCACTGAAGGAAAAGCAGAATAAATGGCAATTTAATTATTTATTTGTAAATTTGTTTGTTTATTAATATTTATTGGCCGCCCATCTTAACTCAGGGTAATGGATTGCAACCATAAACCTTTTTTTGGCTATAGAATAGGGTCAGTGCATTCAATGACTATTATAATAAACTAAAATGTAAAGGTAGGGTTAGATTTAGAAAGTTTTGAATCAATACCTACATATCATCAGCAGAGGAAAATACTTTTGTATTTATAATTCTGTGAAAAATATTGGCCCCTTTTATTTTTTCTGAATTTTTGCATATAATTTGCCACTGAATATTATGAGTCAGTCATATTGATATACAGTATAAAGTCTGAGTGAGCAGATAAGCTCAACATTTAATGCTTGTTTATTTCATAAAGTGCATTTGTGAAAACAATTGCCTTCCTCAAGTCAGTACTATAACTGGTTTCATCTACTCTGGCATCTACCATAACCAATGTATCCCATAATTAACAGCCTTTTACAATATTTGAGGATCTCCAGCAATACCTGCTTTCTTTTAAGCCCTGGTGAATTTCTATGGAGTTTTAGACACTCACTGAATCATTCAAAAATATTTTGAGTCATTTTATTCTCTTCCGTTCGTTCTATTGTAAGACTTAATTGTAAGTTTGAGATCATTGCTTTGATATATGACCCATTTGCATTTCAGATTATGGTTGATTATCTGTAAAATTATGTGATATGAACAAAATTCATTCTCTCCTCAAATGACTGTTTATCCCAAAGTAATAAAAAATATCCTCAAACTGTGATATTGTCATCTTCATGCTTGACAGCTGGTTCTTATTATCAAATTAAGTGTTTAGTTTCCCCCAGACATAGCAACTAGGTGTCCTATAAAGCTTCCCATTGCCTTATTTATTCTCCTGAAGTCTAGTTGCTTATTTAGCTGTTGGATTTTTTTTGGCAAACTTCAGAAACTTCTGGCCCATGAATCCCCATTTTTCCCAGTGATCTTCTTATCTTGGAATCATAAACGCTTTGAGCACAGGCAGGAGAGGCCTGCAAATCCTTGGATGTTGTTCTTTTTTTTTTTTTTGTCTATGATTTCATGAACAATTTTATGATGTTCTTTTAGAGCAATTTTGACAGAATAGCCACTCTTTGGAAAATTCAGTAACGTATCCACATCAGAAGACTGATTAATTTTTTACCATGGGACATTGAATGTAAGCTGACTTTGTTTAGGAAATACCAGTAGAAGCTCTAATAATCTTCAGTGGCAAAGATACACATTCAGGAAAATTTAAACAGCCAAATACTTTTTCACAGTATTATAACCTGACAAAAGAAAAAGGGGAAATTATTTTCTTAAATTACTCATTTAATTGGGTGAATATTGTAGTTTGGAAGAAAAAGACTCATTAAATAAAGTTGCCCTCTTTGAGCAAAATTGCTGTCTTTAGGATATATAACATTACAATCTTGTTCTTAATTAAAAATAATGAACTTCCAATAATTATAAATCTCTAGGTTTTTATAATGGTTTGCAGATAGCAGTATTTGTTATTGAGCCAAAATTCTGGTAATTTTGAGAGATTCTATTCAAAGATTCAGTTTTTGTTATATTGTTTGAACCTTTTAAGGATTACCCCAGTATTCTCTAAAAACCATTAAATTATGTTATTTTCCTGTAGAAAAACGCTGTATATTTCATCCATATATTTGGAGCTTTCCTCACATTTGGAATTGGAGTCATATATATTCTGGTTCAGACAATTATTTCCTATAAGATGCAACCACAAATTCATGGGAAGGATATTTTTTGGATCAGATTTACAATACTGCTATGGTGCACAGTAAGCATGACGACTAGTATCCTTTGTGGTAAAATAGTGCAAGTGGTGAATGAGAGATATTTCTTAAAAGTCTATTTTAAATGAAGCATGCTTTATTTTCAGGTGGCTAAAATGTTTACTTGTTACAACAATGCTAGAAAGATAACAAAATATATAAACTTCAGAAGCTTTATTTTTTGATTTCCAGAGAGCTATGTTAGACTATTGCAATAAATTATCTTGCATCTTTAAAGATGACTTAATTCATTGATGTTTATTTCCATGGTCTACAGTTTTGAGATATTATTTGGGTTAGGAGTATGTAGCTTATGATATGTAATGTAGAAAGATGTCAGAAGGAAGTAATATATATTTAACATTATATATATAGTATAATATAGTATAATATATGCAGGGCTTTTTTTCTCGGAGAAAAGGTGGCGGAACTCAAACCTGGCCACGCCCTCATCAAACCCTAGGACCGCCCCTTTAGAGAACAGGATGCAAGTAAAATTTGGGAGGGGCTATTTCCGGTGCGGCCGGCCCGGAAAAAGGTGCCGGAACGCGGTTCCGCCGCGTTCCGGCTGAAAAAAAGCCCTGAATATATGTATTATATTACGCATTATGTTCTACATTGTGTATAACATCAATGATTTTATATTGCTAAACTAATTAACACATATTGCATAGTATGATTTTTTAAAAATATATTTATTTATATAAATAAATGTATAAACTGCCCAACTCAATATCCAACCTGATTCTGGTCAGCAATTGCCCTTATGAATGTATTTTATCTCTGGATAATATTTCATGCACTTGATTACATGTATTTGAATCTATTATGACATAATAATTTGTTAGTATTCATTGTGTTCATATTTATTTTATTCATGTTACATGTATTGATTGTGAAAAGGATTTCATAATACAGTATTCTACAACAATAGGTAAAACTTTCTGTAATTTTATCTATATATAAATATAGATATAAAAATATAGTATTTGTGTTACTGTTAGAATCCCTGATTTCTGTTGATACTTTTCTCAACTGCATCCTCTTAAACCACATTATCAGGGGTTTCTGAGAATCCCCTGATCCTTAACAACAATTTTCTGGATGAGTGAAATGCCATGATTATATTTGATACTGACTGACCAGATGAGACATTTGCTGCATTATTGGCACATTTCAAAAGGATGGGGTAAACTTTAAAAAATCATTTAAACTAAAGATTACACCATCCGTTCTCAAAACCTCCCGGGTGTACAGCCTTTAAATTAAAAAAAAAGCAAGTGGGGTTAAACAAGAATGGATGGAGAGCAAGGCTATTTCCTCTGTATTTCAAAGATATTCCTTAATGATTAAAGTGGCTATTTCTACATTCATTTTAGTCAGATTAAGTGGAACAGAATCCCTACGGAGGCAGCATTGGAATCCCCAGGAGAAAGTAAGTTTGGTTTTTCTTAAAAAGACAATAGAAGATACAAATGAAACATGTCAAGTGCATTGCAGAAGACATTCCAAGATATTCTTAACACATTGTAGTGTTTATATATTGTTTTCCCAAAAACCATACTTAGTTCTGCAAACAAACAAAAACATAAGCAAGAAGTCTACTTCATTAGTAATTGGCTTCATTACTGCAATTTAAAAAGAGTAGCTGGTCTAGCCTCTTTAATATTTAATAAAGCGAATATAATAAACCTAAAGTTAGGTTTTCTGCTGAATCAGACCAAAGTTTTATTCCTAGATGTTTCTGAGAAGTTCAAAGACAGGACATGAAGAAAAGGTATTTTATTCCCCCCCCCCCCCGGCAAGTAGTATAATGCCTGTAAACATGGAGAAAGTGTATGTAATTTGTATATATGTGTAGATACATAAATCATGTTTAGTAGCCATTAATAACTTCCATTGTGAATTAGGTAATTATTTGTCTTACTCCCTTTTTTTGTTATATTTTGGTATTGCATTTGTTCAGCACACATTAAAGCCTTCACTAATTTCAGCTCCCATAATCTCTAGCCAGCATCAAAGGCAAGTTCCATAAGCATTATGTCTGGAAGACACTAGGGATTTCTTTTTAATGTACATAAATATACATAATGTAATGAAATATAAAAGTGTGATGCTCTCTTTAACATTTAGTCATTTTCTCCTATAGTTGCCTAAAACCTTTTGACTGCTTTTAAAAAGGCCTTGAAACATAACTTGCAGGTTTTTAATTGTTGAAACTTTTTAATCTGTTGGTTTTAATTTGATTTTATGTTTTAATTGTAAACTATCAAGATATTTCAGTAGTCAGTAGTATAAACATTCTAAATAGAATGAAAATCAAATAAGGAACTTTCTTGTGCTTATTATTGGTTTTCATTACTTGAGTTTACCATTAGAACTGATGATATTCTACCATTGAAAAGCACTCTCATAATACTTTTTTTAAAAAAATGTCTTCTGCAGGGATACATTGTCCATATCATTGCCACAGTTTCTGAATGGTCTTTGGCTTTCACTTTTCTCAGTTTTTTTCTGACTTTCATCCGTGACTTCCAGGTAGGTTTCTCTACTGCAAGGGTGGGCAAACCTTTGGTAGACAGAAAGTGTCCTTAATCTGGGGACAGTGGCTACAGATGACATTGGAGAAAGACGTTGGAACCAAATTATATACAAGGGATTTGCCATTTTTGAGTGAGCGTTGTATGAGAACCACAAATAGGAGTTGGGTCATATAGACAGATGTTTCTGTTTTACTAAATATCTTATGTTTGGATATTTTGAAGTTAAGTAAATCTATCTGAAGCTGAGGTGGAATAGAAGCCATCAAAACAATTTTCCATACCTACAGGACATTAAGGAAATACTTTATTAAAATGTATTATGAATTTTTGCAACAAAAGTTAGCCTTTGATATTAGTTGTAAGCAAAATAGGTGATTATTCAAAATATTTCATGTTTATTTTTCTTGGTTTTCTGAGCTTAAAGCTAAATAGAGACATATGACTATTTTATTTTCAGAAACTGATCCTGAAGTATTATATTTTTGAAAATAATTGCATCTATAAAAGAAAGACCAAATTGATCAGTTGTTAGCAATGCATTTTCTTATTTTTGAATTAGGATTGGAGAGTAATATATTAGCCTGCCCATAGTAAATGTCTCCTAACCCATGATTTAATTGTAGAAAGGGCAGACCTGGCACTTTACTGAGAATTAGGTGAAGGGAGAGACTTTCAGAAGTGTGACGATCATGTTTCTGATTTGAATTTTGGTTTTTGCCTCAGCTGAAAGTCCAAGGCAAGGGAGGGAGAATGGTTGTTGTGTTGTAGAAAGCCATGCATATAACCAGAGATACTATTCCTCTGATTACTGGGTGTGAAATTTTGTTTCTGATGGACTCAAGGGTCAAACTTTGATTATGGCTGCTTGTTAAATGCACTATATGGCTTAAGACCTGGACATTTTCAGCACTGTCTATTCTCAGCGCCATTTGCGCTCTTAGTAAGATCAGGGAGGGAGGGTTCTCTTTGGGTCTCTATTCCGAGCATTATTATCAGAGGTCTTAAATTGATCCTTGGTTGCCGCTTCCTCCTATTGACCAGCATTTCACTTGTGAATAGGTGGCTCAGACTTTTTGGAATTTGTATTGTTTTAATCATGAGAGATGAAGCATACATTGCTTAAAATTGGATACAATTGAAGCAGCCTATAAGCCTAAAAAAATACAAACATATGTAATTTACCTCAGTAATGGGGGAAAAAAGTAAAGGTAGTGTGCTGCAGAATATTTCTCCCCTTCTTTCTTTTGTCCTCCCCCCATTATCCATTTTAAGCTAGAATTTATGTAGTACTGTACGTGTTCAAATCAGTGGTGGATTTGAACATATCTGTTTGGTATTGGAATCTGTTTGGAGGCGTATTTTTCCCTGGGGTTCTTCTGGGGCCAGTGACATCAATGGTTGGGCCTAGAAACATTCTGATTCTCTGCAGCCCAACCCACTAGCATCATACAGCTTTTAAAGAAAAGGGCTCTAAGAACATAGTGAGCATGAGCAACATCTCACAGGGAGCCAGGAAGACCTTCCACCTGTTGGGAAAGGAAGGAGTCCAGACCAAACTCTGGAAACAGTCCCACTCAGCATTTAGAAGTAGTGACTCCCAGGGACTTCAGGTACTCCCTTTAAGGGATAGACAAGGAAGAGAACAAAGTCTCAAAGATGGAATGATTTGAGATGACATTGTACAATTTTTGAACTTTGATAAAATTATTAAGACAGTAACACCCATGAGATTCCTTAATTATTTTGTCTATAAAGTAGGATCTAATGTGAACATCTATGATGACTTAGCTGTTGCTTTATGATAACAGAACCAAATTAACTAATACATTTCATTCTTTTCCACCATTTATTGTAGAAAATCTCATTGCACATGGAAACAAAACTCTTTGGCCCTAATCTTTATCATACTCCAGAGCAGCTCCTGGAAGATGACCAAGGAATACTAATCACAGGAAGCATATAAATTAGAACTCCTCTCAGAAAAAAGCTTTGGTTCACATATAGTGCTTCCATTTTTTAATATGCAGAAATAATGTCTATTAGTTCCACTGGCATCAGCCCACATACAGTATAGGCTATATATACAGTACTGTGCAAATGTTTTAGGCAGTTGTGCAAAAATGCTGTAAAGAATGCTTTTAGAAGTACAAGTGTTTAATAGTTTATTTTTATCAGTTAACAAAATGGAAAGTAAATGAACAAAAGAGAAATCCAAATCAAATCAATATTTGGGGTGACCATCCTTTGCCTTCAAAATACACTTGCACAAAATCAAGGATTTTGTAGATTAGAGTCAGGTATATGATTAACCAATTATACCAGTTGGGCTAATGAACATCAATTTCATATGTAGGTTGAAACACAGTCGTTAACTGAAACAGGAACAGCTTAAAGGCTTAAAACTGGGTGAGGCACAGCCAAACTCTGCTATTAAGGTGAGGTTATAGAAGACAGTTTTATATCACAGGTCATATACTTTAGCAAAACAGAATATAAACCAGACAAAAGGTCTTGTTCCTTGCATCAGCAAGGTCTCTCCCAGGTAAAGATTGCAAAGCAGACTGCAAAGCAAAATGTGCTGTTCACGCTCTTTTGAAGCAGCACAAAAAATAGGCAACACTTAGGCCCATAGACAAAGTGGTCGGCCAAGGAAACTTAATGCAGCAGATTTCAAGATTTGGTCAGGATCAATGGTGTCCTCAATGCTGAGAAACACAGGCAGATACTTATCCATTATACCATCAGGGAGGCATGTGATTGGCCCCAAATTTATTCTGCAGCAGGACAGTGAGCCCAAACATACAGCCAATGTAATTAACCATCTTCAGCATAAAGAAGAACAAGTAGTCCTGGGAGTGATGGTTTGGCCCCCACAGAGACCTGATCTCAACATCATCGCGTCTGTTTGGGATTACATGAAAGGACAGAAGGATTTGAGGCAGCCTATATCCACAGAAGATCTGTGGTTCTCCAACATGTTTGGAACAACTTTGAAGGAACCTTGCCAAGTTCTTCAAAAACTGTGTGCAAGTATACCTAGAAGAATTGATGCTGTTTTGAAGGCAAAGGGTGGTCACCCCAAATATTGATTTGATTTGGATTTCTCTTCTGTTCACTTACTTCCCATTTTGTTAATTGATAAAAATAAACTATTACTTATATTTCTGAAAGCATTCCTAATTTGCAGCATTTTTGCACAACTGCCGAAAACTTCTGCACAGTACCATATTTTTAAATACTGTATATGCTTATATAACATTCAATGCAATATATAAAAATATCATTTTATATGAAAATACTACTATTAATGAAGGATTTTTATGGACTTTTGCCAATTGTTTATATAAAAAGTTTTTAAGTATTTCACAAAACATTGTAATGTATAATATAAAATAATAATGGTTATATGGTATTATATATCCTTACAGATTTGTATAAACTGAATAAAAAATTTGCATATTAAAGTTTGCTGACAAAAGTTGCTTTTTTGTATGCCTCATAAAATTGTTGCTACTATTGTCAGAATATCTCCCATTGTAACTTTTTCAGACCACAATTGTTTGCCTAAACAATATTCTCAAGATGAACAATAATTTGTGACTAGCTAGATTAACAAAGTTTAATAATGGGACAAATGTGGGTAGAGGTAAGAGCATGTCTTCAGACAAAGAAATGAAAAAAAAAAAGCATGGTCTGGGTATTTTTGCTTCTTGAAATTCCCAAGCTTCCCCTTACTAGCTCTCTCTTAATTTATATTAAAATACTAGCTGTACCCAGCCACGCGTTGCTGTGGCTCAGTCTGGCAAAAGCGTGTGTTGCTTTTACGTCCAACAGATGGCGCTGTTTTTCAAAAAACATGTTTTTACCTGTCACAGGTGTGACATCTATATAATATAGGTATATAAAAACGCGCGTATTCGAATGCAGCGTGTGAAAATTTCAAAGCAATTGGTGAAGAACTTTCGGAGATTTAAGATTTTGAACAAACAAACATTTACATTTTTATTTATATAGATTACTGGAAATGGCATAGAGTGGCTCTAAGTTATCTAAACTAATCTCAAATTCTATTATATACATTAGTGTTTTAATAATTTTAACCCATATGGTAATTGACAATAAACACTCTCATTTGTATTGTATATTGGTATTAAATTATAAATAGCGGAGTCACAATGAAAATGTTTGGAAATATAAAAAGGGATTTTAGTAGAATCAAAACAAATACATATTTACTTTACATTGGTAGTCATAGAAATATTAAAATTAAGTATTGGCAGCTGCCTCTAAAACAGTGATAGCCAGTATATATGTTGTATAAATGGACTTGAAAAGCTAGAGTCATAAGACATCACCATCCTATAAATTGACCAAGTGAAGAAGTAGGCTACATATTTTAGATAACATAAACAGTAACAAATGGAATGATGCTCACTTAACATTATCTTATATAATCGGGGGTGACATTATATGGACATTTGGGTAAAATTTGACTCATGTTCAATACTTCAGTAGATTCTCTACAGCTCATTTCTCTTATTTCTGGGCCTTTAAGAGTAGATATATTCTTATTCTTTGCAGAAAGCTTCATCTCTTAGATATTCCTAGGTTAGCTTTTCTGTTATAAATAATACAGGTGGTCCTTGTTTAACCACTCGTTCAGTGTCTATCCAGACTTAACAATGTTGAATCAGCAGCTATGACTAAATGTTGGAGTGGATGGATGTTGCAGTGTCCCCGTGATCATGTGATCACAATTTGTGATCTTTCCTGCTGCTTTCCCACAAGCAAAGTTGGTGGGAAGAGGGCAGGAATTTGGAAGTCAGTGTCATGTGATGTCCTTAATGACTCGCGTCCTCTTTTAACAATGGCAGCCAGAATTACTGTAGCTAAGCAGCACAGTTCTGTGGTTTTTCAATTTACCACCATGTTGCTTAATGATGGGAGTTTTTGGTCTCAACATTCTTAAATGTGGACTACCCGTAATCTCTTCTTTGGAGCTCTTTGCTGAGTAACTTTATACAAACCTGCTGAGTTTTTCTTATTCTTTCTTCAGCTTGTCTCTTTGCAAATGAAGTTGCTTCTCTCTGTTGTTAGGATATCTAAGACAAAAGCAACTCCATGTATATAGAATCCAAGATTTATTTAAGTAAACCAGAAGAATACCTCAGATTAGGAATCATATTTAGACAATGTGATCAATACTTAAACCAAACACAAGTAACATTTTTGAAGATAAAATCAGATGCTGTTGAAATGATAAAATGCATTTGTGGATATTTATCATTTATAAGCCTTTGTGCTCATTCGTTCACATTTATATAGTTACCCATAAAAAAAAACATTTAAAAACATTCCATAATTTTACAAAACTATCAACCTTATTAAAAAATATTAGAAATGAGCATCTTTAGTATTGCAGTATAACCATCTGACCTATTCTCCATTTCTCAGAGATCCCCAAGACTGTTGATGTAGCCACATATTGAGGGGTTTGCAGAAAGTTGGCAACCATGGTTACCAACCAGTCTCAGTGTGGGGAGAATGATGTTCCACAGAGAGGGTAGCATGGCAGAAAAGGCCTGTCTCCTAGGTCCTGCCAAATGTAACTCCTTAACAGATAGAACTGCAGTGTCCCTATTATGCCAGACTTCATGGCATGGGCAGATATAATTATGAAGAGGCAGTCCCTCAAATAACCTGCCCAAGCAGTGAAGGGCTCTGAAGGTCAAATCTTGAATTGGATCTGGAAGCAAATTGACAACCAATGCAGCTTATGTGATGTTCTAGGAACACGCCTAAGTGCCCACACCAAAAATGTTTTCCACCAGCTGAAGTTTCTGAATACTCTTCAGGGGCAGCCTATGTAAAGTGCATTACAATAGTCCACCTGGAAGGTGAATAGGGTATGAGTGACCATGACTAGAGCCTCCCAATCTAGTAATGGGCACAATTGGCACACACCACGCAATTGTACAAAGGCCCACTTAACCACAACTGCCGCCTGCTCCTTGAAGGAGGTGTCATAAGCTAGAACCCCCCTCCCCAGGTTGCATATTGGGTCTTCTTGGGCAGTATAATCCCATCCCGTACCAAAGGTGGCAAAATGCTAGAACCAGAAGGCCCCTTACCCATTCATCTTTCCTGGTGTTCAGCCGAAGCCTGCTCTTTCCCATACAGGCTCCCAAGGTCTCCAGGAACTGGGATATTTAATTTGCCAGGAAGTAATTATATGAAATATAATTGGATACTATCTGCATATCATGGTGACAGGTGATCTCACCTGATGGCTTTACATAGATTTTAAATAGGAGCAAAGAGTCCACCAAATCCTGAGGCACCATTCCTACCGTAGTAGGGGTTCAGGACAAGTTCTCCCATTTCCAATCAACACTGATATCAATTCTGAAGAAAGCAGAACCAAAACAATACAGTGCTGCCTACCCCAATCCTGAAGTTGATTTAGAAAGATACCATGGTTGATGGTATCAAAGGCTGCTGAGAGGTCGAGCAGAGGGAGAATGGATGCATAACCTCCATCTTGCCCTTGCAAGAGATCATTTAAAAGTGTGACCAATACTGTTTCTGTCCAATTCCAAGGCTTGAATTTTGACTGAAAGCAGCCCAGACAATCCATTTCATTCAGGGGCCTCTAGAGCTTCTATGCTAACAATTATTCCAAAAGGGGGAGTTAAGACACTGAATAAAATTGGTTCAGTTTATTTATTAAATTTACAACTTCCATACCTAAGAAAGAATGCATCGTTAGACCCATCCACATACCCCCCCTGGGCTGCTTTAGTTAACCAGGAGGGTCATAGTTCTAAAGAGTAGATGGCCAAGTTCACATTCATAAAGACCCTATCCAGGCCCTTCAAATGCAAACTATTTTTAGGTAACAGGGCAAGACCCAGCCCCATGCATCTCCCCAGGACCTGTAACCAGGCCAGCGTGCAACTGAGAATGAATTTGAGTGACTTTATCTGTAATACTGAGCAAATTATTCTGAGTGGTCTTATAGGGGGCTGTTTGAGCTTGCTCTACTCAAGAGGACATATATCATCTGAAATAGGACTACCAGATGGCTATCTGCAGACATAAGGGTGAAGTGTTGTTGCTTACTGCCCCAAGGTAAGTCTTAAGTGCAGGTCTAACCATGTTTGGACAGTTAGTCCCTTATCATGTGCTAGTGATGCTCTAGACATCTTCAATTTAATTTCCCTCAGCTCTTCTGTAAATCACAGGGAGTGACAGGGATGAAAGAGGATCCTATCACAGGGAGTAATAGGGAAAGATTGCCTAGGTGGGTTGGATAGGAATCCAATCTATAGCCTTAACAGTCCTCTTGTTTCAAGTGGTAATGAAGGGTTGAGATGAATTATGCAGCACACCATCGGAAACAATCTCCAGCTCCCTCTGAAACCCATCTGGGTTCATCAGTCACTGAAGGTAGACCTGTCTTGTTGCAGTGGTTAGTGACACCAGAGAATCCCATAGCTATCAAGCATGACCTGACCATGACAAGTCATGACACTGAAAGCTCTGACAGAAAAATGAGGTGTCTGACCATCGTTGGGCCCTGGAATCCCACAAAACTCCTTGGCCAGGAGGTGGCAAAAGTATACAGTATTTCCCAAGGCTGCTCAGCACCTCAGACACCAAAGTCCCAGCATCATGAATGTGAAACTGGCTCTATTGTCATTGCCACCCAAGATGCCCTACCTCCTGCCTTTGCTAGTTAGTGAAACACCATCTTGACTTTTGCCAAGTTTCTCCACAATCCCCAGCAGTGCTATATTTTCAAAGCTATGGTGTCAGCAATGACAAATTGGCAAAATCCCCCATTAAAGCTCTGGTGAGGGAGAGGGGCAAAGAAAACATACAAGACCATTTCCACAGAACCAGAGGTCAAGGCTCCATTACACACAATCTAGTTGGTCAAGTTATGATCCAACACAATTGAACCATAGGACAACCCTATCCTTTAGCACTGTACCTCAAAAAGGTCCAGGTACACTATACATAGCTCCATCAACAACATACAGAAACCAACAAAAAAACTGAGAGTTAGGGTTAGTAGATCAGCATGGATTGCATTCCAATCAAATGAGTAATACTTTTAAAGAATAAGCCAGTGAATTTCCCTGTTTGTATATTTATTATAGAAAAGGAGAAACACAACTGAAAAGAATTAATGAATTAAATTGATTCACAGAAAAGGTCATGAAAATATAGGCTATATATTAACTGGTGCTAAAACCTAGATTAAATATGGGAAGGATATACTATTGTAATAGCAACTTATTCTACCAAATACAGATTTTTATGAAGCTAAAACAAATCCCAAACAAGCTGATTACTTCTGAGCTTCTCTGGAGCCACAATACTGACCACATAATTATTTAGAACAGTGGTTCTCAACCTGTGGGTCGGGACCCCATTTGGGGTCGATCGACCATTTCATGGGGGTCGCCAAGCAAGGCTGTCCGCCATTTTTTTTGTTCGCCTTTTCCCCTTTTCCGGCGGGTGCCTTACCTCCCTTGGGCTGGGCCAGCTGGTGGTCGGCCTGCTCCGTCTCTGCCGCTTGCCAGCTACTCCTCGGCTGGCGCAGGGGGCGGAACCACGCATGCGCGGTGATCCCGGGCAGGGAAAGTCCTCGACTTACGACCGGTTGGTTAGTCCTCGACTTATGACCGGTTTAGTCCTCGACTTACGACCGGTTGGGGTCGCGGCATTAAAACGGTTGAGAACCACTGATTTAGAAGATAAAGGAATGGATAAAAAATGAATGGGAAAGCAGATAGTGACTGGAATGTCCAGGAAAAGGCTATCTCATTAAAAATCTAAACATGAGTATAGCTTACTGCAAATTACTATACTGTTCTAATTATTTTTCAGTATATTACTTGTTTAAGTCAGGATCAAAATTTCATCTCTTGAGAAATTAAAGGACCTACTGATCTTTAGTGACCAAACAAAATATGTTATTTTGAGTTTTGGAACAAATTTACTCACTTAAATAACAGATCAATATTAATCACTGAGTGTTTTAAATAATATCTAAGCTAGTACATTTCTGTCAGGATTAAGCTAGTTATATGCTTTCAAAACATTTTCAACTGAAGAATTCTATCTACATTTCATCTGTGAAACCACTCTGGTTACTGATTAAGATCAGCATGAATATAAATTGTATTTACTATAAAAATTATAATGAATTAAATAAATTTCTGAGCAAGTTATATTCTTGTCAATAAGATTCTAGATTTGCATACTTTTGTCTTGGAATTGGAGTTCATTCGTTCATACTTATACCTATTAATACCATGTAAACATTAGGAAAATTAGATTTATGGTAGGTTAAATGAACAGCAACAGATAACATTTCAGCAACTGGCAAATTAGCTTTGTTAACACTGATGCATTTTTTTTCTAATCGCTTCCAAGGCTGCCTCTCGTTCCCTCAGCAACAGTTTAAGCCTTGTTATTTTCTCATCTTTTATTGTTTCTTCCAAGTCTGGGGGGCTGAAAGGAAAAAGATCCTTTTTGAAAAAACCTTCACTGAGAGCAGTTTCATTTTCATTTTCGTGGCAATTAGAAGTAGAATTCAAAACACTGTTGTTGTTGTGAACCCAAGGATTTGAGACTTTGTGGGAACACTGAAGAAAACTAGTAGACTGCTCTTGTTCTGATAAGTCCCGTGTGCAAGAATTATTCAAGTTTTCCATTGCGGAATAGGAGTTGTTACACTCAGAGTCCTGCATTGTTGTAACATCTTTTTTTCTCTTCTTTGGATTTTCTAAAACTGGTATTGATTTTGTCTTCCTCTTTATATTCATCTTTTCCCCTTGTTTCTTTATCTTAAATAAAGAAAACAAAGAATAGCATATTATTGTGACAATATAAATTAAGCAAACCACTCTACAGCTATTCTGAATGAAACTCATTGTCTTTGGGGACAATGTCTCAAGGAACATGGGGCATTTTTTTCTCCCTTTTTCATCCTAGGGTTGAAAACCCAATTTTTCTTCTACTACTTTGAGGATGTTCTAACGTTAGAAAGTCCACTTTTGGAAGGGGTCAAAAGGAGTGCGCTAGAAAGCTTACCAGGAAAATCTCTAATTCTACTGAATTCAAAGCCTTCTGAAACATTTTCCCCTAAACCAATATGTAACTTCAAAAAGTCCACTGGTTTAGATTTACTTCCACTACTGCTTGTGCTGGGAGGAAGTCCTTGAAAGGAACTTATTAGGGACGGGAGGGATAAGCACATCATTCCCTAAAACTGTTTTTCTTTTAAGGCATGACTACATTGGCTTATAAAACTGTGATATATTAAATGTTTCACAAAACATTTATCACTTCTCATGAAAGAAAAACAAGTAGTGGGACATTATTTCACGTTCAAAAGTTAAAATACTCAAATTGCTTCACTTAATACAATATACAGTATCTCCTCCTTTTTGAATTACAAAACACTAAAAATAACATAAACATATCAAAAGCTATAAAAATAGGGCATATACCTTGATGTTACTTTAATACTCCTCTTGAAAAACACAATTTTTTGTAATAAAATGAATCTATAAACATTTAATGATATCACAGTAATTCAGCCAATAATTGTGACAGGCTTTATTATTTCTAGTAGTTATGAATAAGGATGAATATCAAAGAATATTAATTATAAATGTAATATTCTACATACCGTTTCTTCTTTTTCAGATTCACTTTTCATAGGCATAGACAACAAATTATCAATGTCATTCATTTGTACACTTTTGGAAAATACAGATGCTTCTGTGCTTTTAGATGGAACTGATGAAGCTCTCCTAAGATAAACTCTCTCTTCTTTAAAGAGACCAAATTTCTTTCTCAACTGAAGATACTGTTTTTTCTGTTGTTCTTGGATATGTTTCATTCCTGAAGTTATTTTAACCTAAAATAGTAAGCATTACTCATTACAATCATTTTATTCCTTAAGGTGATTTACAAGAGAATAAATTTGCAAATACTGAATATAAAATCATATCTTATAAAATAGAAGCATCTATTTATTAAAAAAGATCACCTGACCATCTAAAATTGTGAGGCCTATTCAAAAATGGAAGAAAGTTGTGCCAACATCCTTCAGCAAATTATTCCTCAAGGAAGAAGTTATTACAAAACAATTTCCACCATATTTCCATTTCCACCAATCATATTGGCAGATATGAGCATGATCCCAATGATATAAATATCCAATATAAATACAATGTGATATGAAGAATTACCTGTTGTTCTTCCTCTTTGACTGCACGATGTACCAAAGTTGGTAATGTAGGATCAGCAGCTGCTTTAGAAGAAAGATCTTTCTGTGCAGTATCATATGTGTTTTCTTTTGTGACATATTTCTGGGCAACATTTATCCCAACAGAAACACTCCTTGAGGAGGATGCTTCATGTTGGCTGATGCTCCTTATTTGAAGACTGCAATGCGGTGAGGCAGAAGGTGTCGATTCTGCTTTAAAATCTTTACTTACTTCAGATTCTAGATACGGTATCGAATTGTCACTAAATGTAGGTTCTTTTACATTAGATGCAATCCTTTTATTTTTTGATAACACAATATTGATAACCTGATTGGTCATGGTATTATCTGTAACTGAACTAATTGATTCTGATGTTTGTTTTCTGACATTTGTGCTTTCTTGCTTGCTAGGCTTGAGTGTTGATAAAATATTAGCTTCTTTTTTAGCCAGTAAATACACCTTTCCATTGCACATTACTAGAGAACTGTCTTTTGTAGAAGGCATTTTTGCATGACTTTCATAGAAGCTGCTAGGACAAACAGGCAAAATACTGGTAGAATTGCTTTTGGTATTTTTCATATCGGCCAATGTTTTTAAGAGCTTAGATGCCACCTTGTTAGATGATTTTACAGGGACAAGGTAAGATGTTGATGACCGTGGATTTTCATGAACAACCCATTTGATAGGATTTGTCTTATCTTCCATGCTAGCAGAGGTTGATACTTCTACAGCAGAGTTATTGTTAACCTTTTGTGGTGTTGCCGGTATTAAAGAACTGGATACTTCTTCCACTGGTTTTGGATATTTGGTTTCCAATGATTTGGAATCAGGCATTTTCACTGTATTTACTGGTGATACAAAGGTAACAGTTGGTGCATTGATAATCTCACCCTTCCCTGAAGCATTTGAGGCTGGAACTGTAGCCAGGATTTTCTCCTGAATTACTGGTGGTAAAACAGAAACTGGAAGAGTTTTAACTTTGGCATGAGCAGGTATTTGAAGGTGATGGCCAGAAGGTAACACTGGAGGTTTCATAGAAAGTGGAGTATTTTCTATTTTCACAATTGCTGTGCTCGTGTCTGAACAAACTGGAGCAACAGATTTCTGTAAGGATGATCTATCAGCTGAATAACTACTCTGAATGCCAGAAACTGTTGATGTAATTGGATTTTGTTTTACAACAAAAGTTACATTAACTTTTTCTTGTTGATTTAAAGGCTTCAGTAAAATTAAACGATTGGCTGCAACAGTCTTTAATTCAGAGATTTTAGCAGCAGGAGATGTAATTGTATTTTTAAATGAAGTCTTCACGTAATCATGAACAGATAGTGAAACATTTCTTTTAACATCATGGGACACGACTGAAGACTGAACCAGATTCTTCAAGTTATTTAAAGGTTTAGAAACTGGAAGTAATTTCAAAACTTTTTTTCCATCCAGCCCAGTCGTTTGAATTGGTTGATATACACAACCTGTAATACTTAAAAAGAAAAATACATATAATCCATTGCTCTTATAACTGGTTTGCACACTGAACATATTTAAATACCTTAAACGATTAACTTTCAAATAAATATTTTGATTTTGTGAGTATAATCAATATTATTCTACTTTAATGGGGATTTCTCCTAAATTCCAAAAGTTAGAGTACTGTCAACAGCCTTTCAATGATTACTTCTTACAGAAAAAAAATCATTCCATCTATCGTATTAGTTTTATAAAAATGTAACTTAATGTAACTTAAGCACTAAAAATGTAATTTAAACACTAATACTGAAGAAAAAATGAAGGCACACTGTCACTGATGATTATATCACTTCTACATTCCTCCAGCCAATAGCTGTTCTGTTAAATTGTTACCCTTTTCTGATTTTTAAATAGATCCTAAGATCTTATCATATTCTTTGAACAAATGAATTAAAATATTTTTTTAGCTAGAAAGTTGAAGAGAAACAGAACCCTACCTCTTCTAGATAGTATAATAAAGGTGGGATCATTTGAAAACAGTGGGATATACATGCAATGGAATCAATCGACTGAGCAATTAATCAGGTCAATAGAAAGTCTAGGGCTATTTCCCTCCAACATAATAGAAATGATTTCAAATTTACAATATTATTTTCACTGTCTTCCTTCATTCCTTGAGATCTACAAACTGGGATCAGGCATAAATTGTAAGCATATAATAAAACCAATTTTGGACCTAACTATTTAACTATCTGATCAGAAGTTCAGCTTTTTCTACAAATTACCTGCTCCAAATCACCCCAATCTTTCTTCATTTTAACAATTCATTTATCATTTATATATATTTTCCTGATGGCTACTGTTAAACATTTGACATTCAAAACTCTCTAGATCTACCTAGTAGGATCCCACCAGTACGCTCAGATCTGTTTTTAAAAGAAGTCAAAAATTACTTTTGCCACTCTTCGACCACTAAGGATTCAGGAAGATAAAAAGGGCAGCCTTCCTCCAACCACTTGACCGTTCAATGAATATCTAAGAGGACAAATTCGACGGGAAAAAGGAGAGACAGGGAGGACCTGCGAGGGAGCATCTATTACAGCACGAGAAGTCAGCCCTACGGGGCGCTGTGGAATTGTGCCACAATAACCGGATACAAACCCGGAGCTCCTTTCCTCCAATTTAGAGAGACAGCGGGGCCCTCTGTCTGAGAGGAAAATGCCCATCAATACTCACTACGATGGGGTGTCAACTGGAGGGTCCCCCTCCCCGTTTCCACTGGTAGCTGCTCCCAGCGCCATCTCGGACATCGCAACTGGGGAACTCCAGGACTAAATCCCGGAAGAGTTACCCTGACCCGAGACGACGTCAATCACTCCTTTGCCAAGGGATAATTCTTAAATCCACTGTAACGACGTATTTCCGGATATGGGGAAATCGTAATAAGGCTACTCTCTTGTAGTCGCGGTACAGTCATAACAGCCACTTCCTGTACCTCTACTCCCGTTCATCACTTCCTACTCTCGTTTCTTAATTAAGGGGCGCCATTTTGTTACCCTTATAGCAGTTCTGACAGAGGTAGGTTTTAGCTTCCGGGAGTTAACAAGAAGGACATCCTGGTTGATATTACTTCCTGTTTGTGAAAAAAAAAGGGAAATTAGAACTTGTCTGGTTTTGATCGTAATGCTACTTTTTAAGTTTCTTTGTTTCCGTCTTTTGACAGATTAAAGGAAATTATTGTCGCCTTAAAAATAATATTTACGTATACGTTTCTATTAATAGTTTTTAATTCAACCGGAAGAACAAATCCTTGACTTTGGGACAAATTACATATTATGTCACAGTAGGAATTAAATATACATTCTAAAATTAAACACATCAATTTTAGCTTCAGCAGGCTATATTCGTCAGAATTTACATTCAACATCTACACACACCCCTTAGGGATGAAAACTAGCTGGATGACTTTGAGCGACTCTCTTAGCCCAACCCATCTCACACGGATGTGGTCGGGAAAATAGTAAGAGGAAGGCGTGTTAGAGGTTTGCTGCCTTGAGTTATTCATAAAAATAGTAAAGATGGGATATTAATGAACTAAATTTAGATTTAGAAAAATCTAAATTTAGTAAATTTAGAACCCATGTTCCCCATTTGCTTTTGCCCTTTCTAAGTTAGTTTGCCTAGCCCTAGTCCACAGGTCCTGTTCTCTTGGAACCCATCTGCTTTTCTTGAAACCCATTTGCATAGGGTTTACTTTCATTATTATGTGGAAGCTCCTGTGGTTAAATTGTCACCTAGCTTGTTTTAAGACCACAGATAGTTCCCATTCTAACGTTTGCTCTCTCTTTTTTTTTGTTATTCTAAGCCAGATTCATTTTCCAAGCATTTGTTAAACTTGGTTTGATGCAAAAACACTTTTCTTTTCCACATTGTCATTCCAAGAGACACAGAGAGTGAAATAAACTTTTTAAATATGGAAGTCAACATTTAATGACTATACCTTCTTTAGACTGAGTTGGTGAATAAGCATGCAATGCTTTGGAAATATCAGCACATTTGGGATCCAGGTATATTATATATATGAGTGTGTGTGCATATATGTATGTGTGTGTGTGTATAAAATTTTTAATAGATACAGAAAACCATACACCAACAAATAACAAAAAATAAGAACTAACTAGGTGATTGCAAGGGATAAAATCCTATATATGTGTATGTGTGTTTGTGTGTACATACATATACATACACCTGATATACATATACATGCATAATCCCTATATTACAGTAGCAAAGATAATGAAGCAGTTTATTATTATGTCCAGTTGGTTCAGGAAGTCAGTTATGAATTCTGAAAACACATTCTTTGTATATCTGCAATTATAGTAACATTTGAGAACCAAGGTGTAGTCCTAATTAATGAACTTAATCTTTCTGAGGAAATATCCCATCTAGATCCTGTAAAATAGGTTAGGCTAAAAAAGTGATTGGTCCCAAATCACCCAGTGAGTTTTCATATCTGAGGGTTGTCTGAGTACATCTTAACCAATGTATCACAACGTATCTTTGTTTTTCAATTTTCAAGCATGTCCTAACTATTTGTTTCAATTATAAACTCATTTCTTTGATAAGTATAGATGCTAAGATGTTAACAGTTATCTTTGTACATAGAGCACAACTTGTTCTTTGGACTATCCAAAATTCTATGTGACCAAGTATTGGTGTTATTATTTTAAAGCAAAAGAGGTAGAATGCATGTTTTCGTTGGAAATTCAGAAAGCTCTTGATATGGTTTCTTGTAAATTTCTGTATTTGAGTTTTGCATATTGCAACTTCCCTAAGTTTATACTCTGGATAAATTCAACCCCAAAATCATGTGTTAACAAATTGTGTTTCTTTTAAAACATTTCATGGTAAACATCAAAATCATTGTAAACTCTCTTATATTAGACGTTTAGTAAATATTAAAGGGATCATTGCAAGAGAAGAAGAGCATTCAATTTTACTATATCTGGATATCTAGTGTTTTATATAAAAACCAGGATATAAATTCCTCATAGTGTTAATATGAAAGTTTGCATGAAACTAAGTATTATATATTATATAAATTGGGGAAAATCCTAGTTTACACCATTGAGTGAAAGCATTAATTCTGGCATACTGTGGAACTGGGAGGAGGTTATGATCTAATTTCTTTATTTATCCTGTTCATAAAGGAAAACTTTTCCAACTTACAAATGTAAATGTGTCTCCAAGTTTGACACATAAATGACAAGTCTGATTTTCTCCATACTTATCGTGAAGGGAAAAAATTCCTTTGCTGTCTTACTTTGTGCAAAAAAATAAGATTGTAAACAACATTGGCTGAAATAGGGAGTAGGGTGATAAGTTTTAAACAATGCATTTAGAGAAACACTAGAAATAACAGGAAACTGAAAATTGCAGGAAACAGAAGTGTGAGGTTTCCTTTGGTTGGCAGGGTAAAAAAAATCAAGTTAATATAATTAGTTTGTTGCAGAAAAGTTATGAAGCCAGCACAAAAGATTTACAACAACTGATATACATGAAATCCAAGCCCTATTTACAGTAAAAGCATACTTAAAATCTTTGTACTTTCCTCCGTAGCAGGCAGCCTTGTCTTTTAGGTAAGAGGTGCAGTTTCAATCTGTCTCTTGCATTGGTAATAGATAAATCTTGCATTAGGTTATGGTGTTTTGACTATGTGAGAATTATCATAAAGAGTGAAAAATGCCCCTGAAACAAATAGAATGGAGTGCAAATAAAGAACTTTTCAGGAACATTTCTAATGTTCTATTTTAAAAGATTGATGAATAATAGTAACTACATTGGAGTTAAAGAAGTTAAAAAAAATCAGTACCGGTACCAATCCAATCCTAGGCTGCATTAATAGAGGGATAGAATCAAGATCACATGAAGTTCTAGTACCACTTTAGAAAGCCTTAGTAAGACCATACTTGGAATATTGCATCCAGTTCTGATCACAATACAAAAAGAAAAAAAGAGTGCAGAGAAGAGCAACAAAAATGATTACGGGGCTGGAGGCTAAAATGTATAAAGAATGGTTACAGGAATTGGGTAGGTCTAGTCTAATTAAAAAAAGGACTGGGAGGACATGATAGCACTGTTCCAATATTTGAGGGGCTCGTGCAAAGATAAGGGGGTCAAACTATTTTCCAAAGCACCAAAAGGCAAGACAAGAAACAATAGTTGGAAACTAACGAAGGAGAGAAGCAATCTAGACTTAAGGAGAAACTTCCTAATGGTAAGAATAATTGACCAATGGAATAACTTACCTTCAGAGGTTGTGGGTGCTCCATTACTGAAGGCTTTCAAAAAAAGAGACTGGACAATCATTTGTCTGAGATGATAGAGGGTCTCCTGCTCAAGCAAGGGGTTGGATTAGGAGACCTCTGAAGTCCCTTCCAACTCTATTATTCTATGTTCTAGGTTTATTGATTGGCCTACCATTAGAAAAACAAACCACAAATATATGGATGCAGAAGCTATGGGGTTCTGATCTCCCTTTCAGCCAAAGCAGTACTGCAATAGAGATGTTCAACCCAGCAACTGGAGGTGGCAGTCCTACAATAGTTTTGTCAGACCAACTGAATCCAAGCAAATTGCCAATCTCAGCTACAGCATCTCAAGTCACCTCCTCCATCAACTTTATCTTGTCCTCATGGAACATTTCTCATCACTTTTACATTAGAGTATCCAACATTTTGGACTACTTTAGTGGCATACTGATGAAACAGAGGCAATGTCATTAGGACTTGTCCTTGGCCAATAGTGAAGCAGAGACTTTTTAAGCAGAGCAAGAAAATTATTTGGATGGGCTCTTACTAATTAAGGGCCACCCAAGATTGTCAGGATAAAAGGAAGGATATCAACATATAGGTAGGTTTCATTTAGTGCTGATAACGAATATCAGGAAATAGTCACATTACTTGAAGTGATATTTTTGCGGAAAATAAGGCAATTGGCTGCAGCTTGATGAAAATAGACAAAAAATTAAACATAAAATGCATGTTTATTAATGAAAGGTAATATTAAAAGATTAAAACACTTAGAACTTCAATATATTTTTTTAATAAAGTCACTAAGTAGTTATAGAAAACAAAACATTCCAAATATAATTACTAAAGGTAAGCATACACTGACAAAAACAGTCTTTATTGTATTTCAAAATATTTTATAAATCAATACATATTTATACTTATACAAGCAAAATTCTTATCCAGTTTAAATCTATCAACTGAGCATAAGCAAACCATTGACAAACATAACCATTCTTCTCAAATTTGTTCTCTGGTTTTTAGTTTAGGGACTCCTTTAGAAAAAAGTCAGTAAGTCAGTATAGGTTAACCAAGTTTGTGTAGCTATCATTTCTCTCCTAAAAATGTTTCGTAGGGTGAAAGCCAGAGAAATTTTAGGTTTTTGTCTTACTGTCTATTCTAAACCCTCATGCATGACTTGTTTTTTTTATTTACCATATAATCTTAAGAGGTATCTTTTTGCCATTGTTTAGTCACCAGTATTGATGATGAAATGAAAATAACATCCTTGATAAAATGTTCATCTTAATCACTAAAATTCTGCCTAATAGTGACAATTAAATTATAAAATGAAACTTTTTTGAGCTTTCTTTGAACAGACTTCCTTTTCTCCATTTTGCACACACAACTGGCATTTAAAACCTCAATGGCAACGGCACATGCACTAGGCTCAACTGCATATGTGCACTAGCCTCACATTAACTGAATTTTGGCTTGCATTAAACACCATCTGATACAATTTATAATTTACATTAAACTGAATATCATACAATTCATACTTCATTCATTACATTACCTACCTGTATAAGTAAACTTGTATAAATAAACTTGAGCTCTTGCAGAAAAGACAGGATGTAAATCTAACCAACAACTAAATCCTACTTACTTATGCAGTCCCTCATTGCAGAAATAGAATATAGTAACAGGTGTCGGTGTGCACATAGCCATACAATATCTGGCAGTGCTTCCACAAGGTCCAAAAAGTCTAGTTTGGAGAATACATCTTATTTGGTTGGGCTCATGATCCCTACTAAATGACTTGAATTAGTATTATAAGATAAATTCTTGAATTAAAAGTTGCCAGTAGCTGTTGCTCCCCCTTTATGGTGAAAACTAAAAACAATTTGCACTAGGAAGACAATATATTTTTAAACATTAACAAAATTAAAATACACCTAAAAATACTGACAGCTAGTTTGGTTGTAATGGTTAAGACATCAGGCTAGAAACCTGCTTTAGGCACAAAGCCAATCGGGTAACTTTGGGCCAGTCGCTCTGCCCCAATCCTGGGAAGCAGGCAATGGCAAATCAGTTCTGAAATCTTGCCAAGAAAACTGCAGACTTCTCCATGTAGTTGCCAGGAATCAATAGTGACTTGGTTGTTTCAGCGGGCAGGACTGGCCTAGGGGTATTTTAAATTGGTTTTAACTAAATTTTAGTAGAAGCGGCCTATTTAAATATTTATTTTTAACTATTCTCTTAAATTTTGTATTTTGTATTTGTATCAAACTGTTTTTAAACTGGCTGTAAGCCGCCCTGAGTCCTCCGGGAGAAGGGCGGGGTATAAATATAATAAATCAATCAATCAAAATCAAGGCAGCAAGCTTCCCGGCCAATTTGTTAAAAGTTGATGAGATTTCAAAGCAAAACGAAAACAAAAAACAAAACTGTGTAACGATATTATAGCTAGCTAAAAAGTGATCAAAATAAGCATACTGATCAGTTATAACTCAATGAAAAAGTAACCCAAGAGTCTTGTGGCTCTGTAAGCCTATAAGACCATTTCTTCCTAGTGATTGACAAGTAGAGCGTCGATTGTCATTTTGACATTCAACCATCGTTGTGCGAATGTAACAGCAACTGAGACAGATATTTTAAATTCGCAGAGTGATGGTGGCGTGAGGATAGTTGTACAGCATTAGGCAAGGATATGTGAATTTATTCATTATGCCCTCGCTATAGCCCCGGCCCGGAAACCTTGACCAAGTGACAAGCTCCTCTTAGAAGTCCTCCTAGAGCTGCTCCGCCGATTTAAATTCCTGAGGCGTGAACCATGCCTGTAACAGCCAATCAGCATAAAGTTCGATCTTGAAGAGCATTTTTTCCACCCGGTCATATTGCAGGCCGTTAGAGATCTGCATTCCTGCTGGTTGAGACTTCGTGGCGCGCTTTTTCCGAACTTTCCCCTCCCGTTGGCTTCCGAGCTGCAGCGGGGCCTTTTCTGGGCTGCTAGAGGGCATCCAGACCGTCCCCTGTCTCCGGTTCTCGAACGCCTGCGTCTCCCAGGCACCAGGAACGAACGAGGCCGACTCTTTCCCTGCGCAGGAGGCAGCTTTGCTCTCCAGGATCGTAAGTCCCGGCGCTCCCAGCAGAGTCTCGAGTACGCGGGTCCTGGGAGGGTTCGTGGCGGAGGGAGATCGGAAGGAAAACAACTATAGTTTTAAGGGGGTGTGTGTTAAAATTTTCACGTCGTTATCAAATTGCTGCTCCCCCCTTCGCTGGACGGAATGGCTTCGTGAGCCCTTCGTGTGGGGGGGGGATGGTAATCTTGCTTTTCCCCCTCGCTCAATAAGCCCGGGCCACTCCTTGGGGCAACGGTTAAGCCAGGGGTTCTCAACCTTGGCAACTTTAAGACTTGTGGACTTCAATTCCCAGAATTCCTCAGCCAGCAAAGCTGGCTGAGGAATTCTGGGAGTTGAAGTCCACAAGTCTTAAAGTTGCCAAGGTTGAGAACCCCTGGGTTAAGCTTTCCTGGTCTTCAATTTCCTTGGGCGGACACACTGGGGAGGGAATAGGAAAAGGGGGCGTACCAGCCCCGACCTTGAATACTTGAACAATTAAAGGCCTTCCCTAATATGCTATTGATAAGGACAGGATTACAGAAACTTTGGGCAGGAGGCAAGGTGCCACAGTTTCACATATGAAACCTCCACTTTTCTGCGTCCTGTCCAAGGCCAGTTAAGAGGGTTAACTTAGTATGGTTGCTGCTGATCAGTAGAAATTCTTTTGACAATTTATCCGTGAATATAATTATTATGACGTCTAGATTACTATTTTTAGATAAAAAATATTTTAATTGTTCTGTACACCCTCTGTCATGCTTAAAATAATCTATTTATCCTATGATATTATAAAGAATTATTGCAAGATTTGTGAAATTATAGTTGGGGGGGAAGTTAGGTTAGGGCATATTAGCTAAAAATCAGAAAGAGCCTGGTAATATTTTTCAAGACTAATACATTTCATTGTAAGGTGTAAGCTTTTGTGAGATGCAACATCTGATTAAGTGAACATCTGGTCATGAAAGTTTATACCTTATACTAAAAAATTATGATTTGAGGAGGATTTATGGGAACTGAAAAGAAAGGAACTAAATTATGTAGAGTTTTTTCTTATGTCATTGCAGTGCAATGCAAAGGGCTTCACGGCTGAAGAGAGAGCTGCAGTTACTGACCACAGAGCCACCACCAGGTATTACCTGCTGGCAGAATGGGAATCACATAAATGATCTTCGAGCCCGTACGTATATACTGCAAATATAAATATATATACACGAAATAGTAAATTCTATTTATTTTTAGGTTGCAGTTGGGATCATCTTTTTAATGTATGTTCCTTACAATCCTTATTTTTTACAGTTCTAGCTTCACTGTGTGAATATACATTTCCCTTCGTGCTTTTTAGACTCATACAGCATGGAATGCAAAAGGACCTTGGAGATAATCTGATCAAACACCCTGTCCAGTGCAAAATCCATTACAAGACATTCAAATTCTTTTTTTCATGTAATGCTGCCCAGTATAATCTACGCCTTTGATTTTTTAATCTAAATGTAGAAGTTTGCATTATTCCTACTGAAATTCATTTTGATAGTTTTTATCTATTTCAGCTGTCAAAATCTTTTTGAACTGTAATCCTGTTCTATAAGATGTTTGCTATCTCTCTATCTTTTGGTCATCTGTGAACTTGAGAAGCATATTTTACAACCCCTTATCCTGGTCACTTATATATGCTTGTTCCCCCTTTGGTACCACCTGAGGTAACTGAAATTCTCGGTGGATATCCCTTGAACAAATGCACAAATTATAGCAAATTACTTTGTAAGGAAATAAGGCCTCATATATCCTATGTCAAACATTATAATTGTTAAGACATACAATCTCTATACTTTGTGTTATTACATTAAATATTGAGATCAAATCTCTGGTTTTCAGTATCCATATATGGAAGGCTTATTTATTTCAAATTAAACCTAAATTTCTTTGAGAGTAGATTCCATTGAATATATTTCAACATCATGGGGTGGAAATGTAAGCATCTAGCAATCTCCAGAACCAAGTGGGAATAATTATTGGGCAAAACAATTTTTTGCTTGAAATGAAATAATTTGTTCTTTGGTAGAATAATACATATTTGTAATTTAAAAGTGAGCACATCACAGAATTCTATTAGGTGAGGGTTAAAAAGCTGACATTCTGTGTTCTGATGATTGAGTTTGTTTTGAATGATGATTATCAATTGACATTGACTTGGTATCAGTCATTGAGGGAATTTATAAATATGGCTAAATGAATTTCACAAATTAATTGTATGATCTTGAATTATGTAATTATGTGTTTTCTTTTTTTGCATAATTTAATCTTCTCTTCCCTTGAATAACTTTCAGTCCCTGCTTTACTGGAAAGCTTGTTAGGTCTTTGGATTTGACTATAAAAGGGTGCTATAGAACATACGGCAAAAATACAGAGCCTGATTGCTTTTTAAAGCCGTTGCATTTGTTGTTGTGTGTGCCGCTATGTACTATGAAGCATCTTTTTGCAGCTGAATCTAAGGCACAACACAGTCTTAAAGCTTATACTTACATATCTTTAAACTTTATATTCTCAGATTTCTCTATTTAGCAATAGCTAATAATATACTATAAACAACAGTATATTTACAAACAGTTTATAAACAACTTAAAATGTATTTAAGAATAATCCCAATCTTAAAACTGAAAAGCCAGCAGCTGTCAGAATTTACTTATAATTTCAGAAAATAACTAAATTAAAGCAGTCACATATGACTGTTTTCTGAGATTTCATTTTCCATAGGTTTCAATCCTTTTTAGATAAAAAACATTTGTTCTTTTGAATCTGTTTATCCTGGATCTATTAATACTTAAGAAATTTGAGCCCATATGATTTTATCCTATTCTGCCTCCCCTTCCCCCTCACATTTATCATCAGAATAAAGAAACCTACTTTGCTAATGTAGAAGAAAGATGTGTGTCTGTGTTTTTCTGTGTGTATATATAAAATCAAAATATAGAAAAGAATTGATCGCTTTATAATAGGAAATAGAAAAGTTGCTCACTTTTCAAGTAGTTAGTTGTAGTTTCGATTTTTTTTTTCTTAGCCAAAAACCTTATACTTGCAATTGTGGAAATCCACTATTGAATATATCCTAATTTAGTTTCCAACTTTGAATAATCTGTAATTATCAGACTCTTTGGTGCTCTTCTTTGTTCCTAGTCTGCTGAATTTCTTGAATAGAGCAGATGTTAAAGAGATTACTATACTATTGTCACTTCTTAGATCTAACTGCTTTTACAGTAAGTGCAAGTTACTTAAAGAGCTCAGTGTTGACACAATTTATATCTTTTCTTTTAGAAATACTAGGATGTGCAAATACCCCATATGAAAAAGGAGTTTTTGCCTTGGAAGTCATTGTTCCTGAAAGGTAAATGGTGAATCTGTGTTTTTGAAATTTAAAACAAATGTCCATATAAAATGGGCATATTAACTATGAATCCTCAAAAGATTGAAATAGGAACCAGAAAGTTGTCAATGAACTGCTCTGTAATAAATTCAGTAATAAGTTATTGGGATTTATAAGTTGAAAAATGACTTGGGAATAAAGAACCGATTGTAACCAGTTAAAAAGTCTTCCTTTTCTAATAATGAGAACTATTTCTGAAATAGGTATCCATTTGAACCTCCAAAAATGCGCTTTGTTACTCCCATTTACCATCCCAACATTGACTCAGCTGGAAGAATTTGCCTGGATGTTCTTAGATTACCACCCAAGGTAATGCACTGCATCCCTTCTATTATAAGTTGCAGCCCTATTATTCTTAAGAGAATGGCCCAGAAACATTAGTTTAAAAATCTCATTCTCCAAGGATGGAAAGACAAGTCCATAATTGAGGGACAAGTCCATATTATTATCTCTCAAAGTCCAGAGAAGTCAAACATTCTCTGAAACTGATAATCAAAGCTTGGATCAGTTATTCCTGCTGGTTTTAGTGGGAGGAAATTTATAACACTCTAGAATAATGAATAGCAGAGATTGCACTCTTTCCTCTCAACGTGTGACAACAGGACTTGAATTTTATCTGTAGTTCCATTTTTTTGTGATGAGCAGAAGAAATAATCTTGAACAAGAGGAAGAGCCTCAACCAAGACAATGGTCAGATAAAATCTGGTCGGGGCAGAAACGTGATTTGAGAAAGCATCTCAGTCATGATTCTCCCTAGTTTTTATTTTATTTTTATTTATCTATAAAATTTATTTGCTGCCCATCTCATTTCCAATGACTAGGTGGCTTAGTTCTCATGAAGATAAAGGGAAGGAAATCACATTCAAACTTTTGAGATTCTGCTATTATAACCTAATAAAACTAGCATTAGCTTGTATTTCTCTGGTTTCCTAGCCTAGTCTAACTGGGAGGGCTGGTGCTATATCATTTTAGATAAAATTACGCTCTCATGAAGATCTATGACAGCTGCTATGGTTACTGATATAAATGGCTTTATCTGTGCAGAATGCAGTCCCTGCCATGCATATTGCTACATATTGCTGGGTTTGCCCTGCTGAAATAATTTTGTTGTAAAACTTATGAGCCTTTTAAATTGGTATTTTAAAAGGGATATTTTTGCAATTTATTTATTTCACCATGATTTGCTATTATTCATGGATATAGCATCCATAAAGCTATGAACTACAGCCAGACCATAAACCTAAAAACTAGAAACTTAAAATTTTATGTTTTTTTAAAAAGTACATCGAGGTGAGCAGAATTTGCTTACTTCCATCCATCAGTAGTATATTAAGCATATTCAGTGATTTCTAGGAGACCTTGAATTTTGGGGGAGAAAAACTAGAGTGTACATCAACTTAACTGAGTACCTTAGGGTTACCTTGGAAAAAGTATATGCCTAACTGGTTAGAAGGTAAAGAAGTGCATGTCTATTAAGAGGTGAAATTACTCTGCAACCTTTTTACTGTGGACTACATTTCTATAACTTAGGAGGCAATTAGTACACTCAGTCTGCAATAATATCTGAAAAATCTTGGAGAGTAACTTTCTTTCTTCAATATATTTTTTCTTCTATTCTTGCATGTAAGGGTGCTTGGAGGCCGTCCTTGAACATTGCTACTTTGCTAACTTCCATCCAGATCCTCATGAATGAACCTAATCCTGATGACCCTCTCATGGCTGATATAGTAGGTTTCATTCTTTTATTTGATTGTAATATATTGGACTTTAGGAAATTTAAATTGTCTGGTTTACAAGGAGATACTTTGCAATTTTTTTCATATTTATTTGCACAATATTCTTCAGATAGAAAATCAATGAATATAATTTATGGCGTGTTAAAACATGCTAATAGAATTTTCCAGTGTTCATGCTACAAAATTCTCATATATGTTATATGTAATATATGAACCATTAGGGCCTCTTTCAAAGTTTAGCCTGTATGTTCCTGTAAGGTGAAGTCTTCCATGCTGTCAGATGAGTCTGCCATTAAACATAACTATATGTGATGATGAGAGGCCATAATTATCCTTCTCACGACCTTTTTTATTATGTCTAGTCTTCAGAGTATAAATACAACAAGCAAGCATTTCTCAAAAATGCCAGACAATGGACAGAAAAATATGCAAGCCAGACAACAATGGTAAGAAATACATTACTTCTGTTACAAAAGAATGGGGTGTTGGTTAATTTTCACATGTGCAGTCTTGCTGTGAGTGAAATCTCCATTGCATAATTGCCTATCTTCCTGTAATTGAGTTTGTGTAGTGTCATGAATGTGCCATGGTGTACAAGTCCCTGGATTATATCTTTGCCAGGAAAAAGAGTACTTTCTGGGATGGCAGTATAAGAAGATATTGGGTTCCTGGCCAGGTTAGCATAACTCAAAATGTCAAGGAAAAATACAGTGTTTTTTCAACTGACAGCTTATTGTATTAATGCCTGATCTTGTAAAACATGCCTTGGGTTAAAAGGGTTTGGAATGTATCCTATTACAACCATATTTTATTTGGAATTCTATTAGGTATGCGACTCGGTAACATACATGCTTAATATATGAGGAAAATACAGGTAATCCTTAACTTATGACCATTGGTTCAGCAACTCTTCAAAAATACAGTTTATAAATGTCACTTACTTTAAAGCTGTTACTTGTCTCATAACAGTTCTCTGAAATTCTTTATTTAGGGAGTATACTTAACCAATTATCTGAGAGCAGTTTGATCCAGATGGATCTGAGGAAGTGGACAGGGTCCCCGGGGCTGTTAGGACAACTGCTTGTTTATTAGATCCTTGCCTTTCCTGATTAGTAAATAAATTAGTCCAGGACGGTGACATGCAGGTGTATCCATGCAATAATTAATATATTGCTGCAGGAGGGGGGTATTTCTGGGACCATTTAAGGAAGCCTTAGTTAGTCCACTCCTTAAGAAACCTTTACTAGATCCCACCTGCCTGAACAATTTCCAGTTTGCCACCTCCCCCTTTTTTGGGGAATGTGATGGAAAAAATGGTTGCACTGCAGCTTCAGAGGGTCCTAGACGAAACAGATTATCTGGACTCCTTTCAGTCAAGTTCAGGCCTGGTTATGGGACAGAGATGGTATTGGTTGCACTTGTAGATGATCTCTGGAAGGAGCAGGATGAGGATAGTGCATTAGTGATAGTGGTTTTCAGTACCAACAACCATGTTATCATTTTGGGCTGGCTGTGGGAATTGAGATTTGGTGACACACTCTTGCACTGGTTCAGCTACTTTATTCAAGTCCGGCCCCAGTCTGTTGATAGGGAGAGAGAGAGATCCAGCTCATGGCCGCTTCTTTATGGCGTATTGCTGGGCTTGGTGCTCTCTCTGCTCCTTTTTAAATCTACATTTAACCACTGGGTGAGATCATTCAACACCATGGGATGCAGTACCATCAATATGCTGATGATACCCAACTGTACATCGTTATTCCTTGTGATCCGGGTGACGCTGTAGCTGTTTTCTTATGGTGCCTGGAAACTGTAGGGGGATAGCTTGGATGAGGGACAACAAGTTTCAGATGAACCCTGATAAGACACAATGGCTATGGGTTCATAGCCATAGCTATGGTAGCTGGGGGTTTATCATCCTTAGTTCTGGATGGGGTTGCACTATCCCAGACAGACTCATTGCGCAATCTGAGGGTTCTCCTAGACCAGGGGTAGTCAACCTTGGCTCTTTTATGACTCGTGGACTTCAATTCCCAGAATTCCTGAGCCAGCTTAGCTGGCTCAGGAATTCTGGGAGTTGAAGTCCACGAGTCATAAAAGAGCCAAGGTTGACTACCCCTGTCCTAGACTCATGACTTCTGCTGAAAGAACAGATGGCAGTTGTGGTTACGAGAGCTTTTGTGCAACTTCTTGTTGTGTACCATTTGTATCCTTTCCTGGATCATGAGGCCCTGTACACAGTCATTAATGCTCTGGTCATCTCCCAATTGGATTACTGCAATGTGCTCTACATGGGAATACTCTCTTCAAGAGTATTCGGAAGCTAAACTGGTACAGATCTCAGCAGTATTGACAGTTCTGGAGGCTCTCTTGGGTGGCACATGTTTTACCTCTCTTGGGTGGCACATGTTTTACCTGAGTGTCTTGGTTGCCAGTTTGCTTCCAGGTCCAATTCAAGCTGTTAGTCATCATCTTTAAAGCCCTTTTTGGCATGGGTCCAGGATATCTGAGGAACTGATGGGATTATCCCGTCCCACTCATTTTAGCGGAAAGGGCTGATTTTGGATTGCCTCTGCCAAAGAATTTCAGATAGCAGAGTCCAGGAGAAGAGCCTCTTGAATATTTTCCCTTTAGAGGTGAGATCTGCCTCTTCACTCCTGGCCTTCCAGAAGACCCTAAAAACCTGTCTGTGCTGCTTGGCCTGGGGCTCCAACAGAGGCCTACTACACTGGAGGTGACTGACAGGGTTGAGAAGATTCTCTTCCCGAGGCTGCCATCACCTTGGTTTAACTTTTAATCTTTTTAATTTAATTTTAATTAGATGGATGGATCGATGAATAACAGATCTTTGTCTTCTATGCCGTTGTAATCACCCCATTCCAGCAGCTTCCTGATGTACGTGTCTGTTTTTTGCAGCTGGAATGTCCGTCATGTCTTGGCGTACAATCCTGATATTTTTCACTTAACTTTCCCAGGAACTTTCCTCCATTATGTTGAGGCAGCATAGTAGGATTTGGATAGCAGGAAACTTTTGAATCATAGTTTAGAGAAGACTGGAGCTGAATTACTATTGTTGTTATTAAAACTTTTAACTGTATAGTACAGATAATGGACACAAACTGAGAGCTGTTTTCTGTTCCAGTGAACAAGGGTATGCAGCTCCTCAACTACGTGTTGGTTCTGCAGATCTAGCTTCCAGGTTAATGAGCAAAAGGAACCAGTTTTAGTAGTTTCATTTTTCTTCTAGGCAAGTAGCAGCAACCTGCTACATTTTGACATTTTTTGCTTTCCCCAACAAAGGAAGAATTCAAGAGAGAGAGAGCTGGAGAGTTGATAGACTAGGCTTCCTAGTCTTCTTCCAGCAGTCATAGTGGGAGAAACATCGAAAGTGTGTGTCTGTGTTTGTTTGAGAAAGAAGTGAATTAAAGTACATGAACCTGAGAATAAGACAACAGTGTAGAAATAATACACTGGTACACACATATGTTTGAATATCTAAATATGTATGTGCATATTCTGATATGGTAGCCAATGTGGCCTTTTAATTTAAGTGAATGACCATTTTGCAAAGAGCATAAGGTAGCTTTTAGTAAATAATAATATGTTTTATTTGTGTACAAACGTATACAATATTGCTAGGGATAAAAAAGTATTATAATTATACAATTGAAACACCAGGGGGCACCTGGTCCTTAAATAACATAGTACTGCAGAAAAAGTTGTGCCTTTTTTCTTCTAAAGAAAATGCAGAGATTAAAATAATTTTTATTTTTTGTATCTCAAACTGACATAAATAAAATACTTGGTTTGTAATTTGTAGAAGGAATTTTCTGTTTGTATTTCTTTTGAAGTGATATTTCTTTCCAGAATTTGCTGCTTGACTGGCCTTCGTGAGAATTGGAGTCATTGTAATAACAATGTACAGAAAATGTATAAAAACTGTTATGACAGGTAAAACATGGATTTCATATTGCAGGAGTGTTAGAAAATAATTTATTCATTCCGAACAGAAATAAAGTTCTGTGATAGGAAACAATGAAGTTTCTCCTGGTGTTTATGCTACTAAAACTGATAAACTGTAAAATAGGGTGCCTAAAGAATCTGTAGTGAGTTGCAAGAATATAGAATCTGTGTATTTAAAGAGCAGAAAATTGATTCTGAAGTTCTAAGCTGGGAAGCTTACGTTTTTGCAAGATATGAATAAAGGTATTCATTCTTTGAGCAACTGGGAATAGAGAATGAAAGTCTTTCCCTATCTCATTGTTTTTCTTTGATACTCTTTCAGCCTTTAGAAATCACCAATGAAGAGAATTACAAAAGCCAGGCTGATCTCCCAAAAGATTCCAGTATTTCCCAGAAGAGGAAAGGAAGCAATATCAATGGATTGTCCAAAAAATGTCGCTTAGAAACATAATGATTTCCTGCTATAGTATTTCAGTGGCTGTCACTGTTTGTTCTTAGAGTAATTTTCCATCCTTTAAATAAGCTTGATGCAATTGATGTACTGTTTACTCATTATGTAATGGTAGCCTTACTGTATCAGTGACATGATGTTCAGCGTGGTATATGTCTGGTTTTTTTTATAAATCTTCTTACATTATTTCTGTAACATATTTTAATCTTTCCATGAAAAGTATGTTCCACTGCACTTTACATATATTTAGAATGAAAGCAAGAATATATAATAATTTGATTTTGTTATGACTGATGTTATGAATGGATTGTAAACAGTTTCTTTTGATAGTTAAAAGGCTGTGCAGTTTCTTCATCTTCACTTGCTACAGTATGAATAAATATAAAAATGTATATATTTTGCTGTTCTTTAGCTGCTTTGTAAATCATACTTTATTTTTCGTTACCTGCATATTCATCTGAACATTTCAAACTTTAAAGGTGAATCCAAACATACATATACACTATTTAATCTATAATTTAAGCATATTTTCATTAGTAGGAAAAATAGTTGTAGAATAATTGATTAGAAAGAGAGAGAAACTATCAGAACTATATGAATACTTGAAATTTACCTCATTTTGACATGGGGATTTTTTCCACCTGACTTTTAGCTTTCTTTCTAGCAGACCTACAGTATATTAATTGTATTATGTGATATGAAATTACACTGCAGAAAAGTTGCTGTTATACAGCTACATTAGAGAAATTCCTATCATTTTTCATTTTATATAGTTTGGGAATCTAAATGTTTAATTTGCAGCTATGTGCCAATTTTAGAATCGCCATATGTTTCGATATACTGTAGATAGGATACTAGAAGAATTTCTTCTTAAATTTCTTTGCAGTTATTTGATTTTAAGGGAAGTTTCTTATTATTATAATATGCTTCCTCTAAATTTAGGGCTTGGATTTTTCAGATACAAAACTATCAAAAGAAATATTTATTTTATTGCAAAGAAATAGATGGAGCTTTGTATATACGTGTGAATAAGATCCATAGATCTACATACACATTCAATTTGTAGCTGTATACACAATCCTATTAGAAATATTTCTGCAAGATTCCATACTATTAAATTTGCTCTCCAGATTTTCTTTTCTTTTAATAGTATGATATGGCTGGTAAGCATGTTCAGTTTTCACTAGCTTCTTTATAAGTGGTAGTAGGAATTGCCTACAGGCCTATTATTCCCCAGTGGACCTGCTTCAACCAAAATTCTGGTTCCAAATGACATATGTGTTAGAAGAAAATAAATGTTCAGAGAATTCTTTAGAAAACATACTGCACATTTTATGCAAAATGTATAGTAAATTATACAATCATACATTTACCAAACTGCAAGCTCTGGATTTTGTGATATATATATATAATCTCTATCTTCTTAAAATTCAAAATTCAGTGACTTCTTAATTTTATTTTCATTTATAACAGGCTTGTCTTAAGTTCTGAATTACTATTTGAAGGTAATAAACTTAATTTTATAGAATTTTCAGAATTGAAAAACTTGAATTTTAAGCCATTAACCCATCTTCAGTAGCTGTTCACATCCCATTTCTAATAAACTGCAGCTTTCCATGCTTGACCTTGTTTGCTTTGTTTTCTCAGGTACACAGGCATAACAGCTTTTGGGGTTTTTAAAAGACAGATTCCACTGATCCATTCTGAATTCAATTTGTTTATGCAAATGAAAGATGTGTATTTGTGTGCACATGGAGAAGCAGTTTTTCCACTGACCAGGGAAGGGAAGAGGGGGCAGGAGAAGCATGCAACCTAGATCCCTCACATGCACATTTTACTGTAGGGTTTGCACTCCTATGAGAATCTAATGCCTGATGAGCTGAGGCAGTGATACTAGTGGCTGCAAATACATATGAAGTTTTGCTTGCCTGCTGCTCACCTCCAGCTGTGGCTTGGTTCCTAACAGGCCATGGACTAGTACCGGTCTGTGGGCCAGAGCTTGGAGATCCTTGCTGTAAACTGTCCAGATTAATTTTTTTAATCCCACCTTTATTATTTTTATAAATAATGAGATGACAGACATACTTAATACTCCTTCCATAAAACAGTAACATCTGCATATCGCAGTTCCTTGTGAAGAATTCAATAGGTTGACAAAAATTCATTCTAAACATCTGGATGACTGACTAATCAATTTATATATTCAGACCACTACCATGAACATGGTTGTAGAGCTTGTGGAATCTGTCTTTGAAATGCCATAGAAAGTGTATTTGGGCCTTAGGAAAGCCTTCAAAAGAGTATCTCATATTTGCCTTAAAACAATGTTAAAATAAAGATAGATGATATCACTGCTAGATGGATTCACAATTGCCTGGCTGACCACATTCAATGAGTGAATATTAATGGACCCAATTGAGCCTGGAGGGAATATCAAATGGAAACAACAGGGCTCTGTTTTGGGCCCTGTTCTCTTTCCTATTGTTACAGTATCAGTGATCTAGTTCAAAGGACACTTAACAAATCTTCAGATGTCACAAAACAAGGAAAGACAGGTATATATTTTAGAGAGGAGAAAATAAAAACAACTTTTACATGGCCAGTACTTCAGCTTCTGCTGAAGTACCCAGTGGTGCGCATGTGTCTATACCTTTTCCCTTGCAGAGAACAAAGACACTTCTTTAGCAAACATTAAACTTTGTCTTTCCCCAATTTCTTAAGCCTGCTTATTAATCCATTTTTTGTCTTGTGTAGCCAGCCCTATGAGCTAGTCCAGGGGGTAGGCAATCTTGGCTCTTTTATGACTTGTGGACTTCAACTCCCAGAATTCCTCAGCCAGCAAAGTCCACAAGTCATAAAAGAGCCAAGGTTGCCTACCCCTGAGCTAGTCCAAACAAGAAGCCAACCATGACTGCATTTATTATAAGAGTATAGTAACAGAATCTTGCAAGTCTGAAAGCACATCTGTCTCCTCTTTCCTTTGCCTTTACTGTTCAGGGAACTAGTAAGGGTCCCTTCTGAGGTGCTTTCCATACCATCATTTCTTCAGTGGGTTGACATGTCTCTTATCTGACTTTTGCCTTGGCTGGACACTTCCTCCTGTTTCTCAAAATTATTCCCACAGACCATAACACAGGAGTTCAGTTTCTTATTCTGATTTTTAGAAGTGACCTTGACCAAAGTGCATGCAATCTGTGGATTTATTATCCCCTACCATATTCTACATAGTTTTACACTTCCAGTTATAGATTTGTGATTTTTATTACTTCCCATCCTGTTCTAAATACTTACTTTGATGTTTCCAATGACATTATTTTTATGTACGTTTGTAGTTTTCTGTATTTCATGTTCTTGGTTGCCATATTATTTAAAGGTTTTAAAAATTGAAGTGTTGAAAAAAATGGATGAGCTTACTTAACATTCCAATTCCTTATAGATTTAATTATCTTGATTAAAAGCAACACCCTTTGATCTACATGTTTATTTCTTCAGTAACCTGAAGTCACAGACTATTAATACCGCACTTAAGCCTTCTTTAAACCCAACTGACATTAAAGGAGGAGTGCTCATTAATTCATCTTCACTGAACTATATACATGAATGGTAAAAGCTGAGATAATTTTTTGGGGGGGCAGAGGGGAGAGGGGTTATGTTTTCTGAAATGATATGTGTGATGTCTCAAGTTTAGTTTAGCTAGATAGGTTAGCTGCTACCAAGATAAAGCTCCTTATTAAAATAAAATCTTTGCTATTTCTGTTTGAGGTGCAGTCTATTTTTTTATCTTTCTATATGACAAACCTTTTACTTGAGGAATTTTCATTTTTTCCTTGCCTAGCATACTTCAATATATATTGGCCATTTAGTAGTGCTTCTTAGCATATGCATACAATGCACACACACACAAATGACCAGATCATAAATGCGTACACATCGTTTGGACAATCATATTTGTTACCATAAGTCTCACTATTCCATCCAGATTTATTTGCACTGTCTTCAAATTCTACTTTCTATTTAACCAGGTAGCCAAAACCTCCCAAAGGGCAGTTCCTTGAATGTAATTTCCATTTTGGAATAACACATGATCTGAAACTGGCTAAACAAATTGTATCAGACTGGTTTTGGGGATCCAAGGGGAGGAGAACAAAGATAAGACTTGCAACATGGGGTAATGCAACCAAAAACATAATGAAAAGCCGTTTCAGAAACATTACATTAACCCTAAGCAGGGAGACAGATACAGGTAATACTGGAGATTTAACCCCTTATATGAAAACAATATCCATGCTTTTCCTTCTCTTCTGAAAGATCAGCAAATACATGTCTTATGGGGGACATGTGCAATGTTAGTTCATATATTAACATTATATACTTGATAAGTCTGCAGTTCTGTAGTTTTGTAATCAAAGTCATAAAAATAGTATAAAATTTGTTTTTTATTTTTCTATGTGGTCTTCAATAAAGAATGTTTTACAAATTAATATACAAAAAAGAAAATTAGGAGTTTATAGAAGGGTCATAAGAGAGGGAAGGTAGCTATATATCTCTCTATATAAATATACACATAATATACAAAAATATGCTGGATATTGCATTTATGGCACAATATATATACAGATAAAAGCACACATATGGCATGTAAAATCATTTCAGCTGATACTTTTTTCAGATATAATGTGAAATCTTGCCATGATTTTGAACTTTATCAAGGCAGTAGAAATTTTTTCTGTGAGTTATTTGACCTTGACTTAAGCAGCAACTAAAAGGATAATTATTTTTTCTAAATATTGTCTGGTATTAATCTTATTTGGGAGAAGATGAATAGCAATGTTCTGTCATGTGATACAAAATCAAAATAATTCAAATGACATCCAAACCCACAGCACCTGGAAGAATTCGGCTACACATTTCGTATTTTTAATAGGAGCACCTATTTATCAGGAACACAGCAGAGATCAAGATATTGAATAATTAACAAATGACTCAAGTAGTATATGTGTGTGTGTGTGTGTGTGAGAGAGAGAGAGAGAGAGAGAGGTTGTGTGTGTCTGTATATGTGTGTATAAATATTCTAGTGTTTTCCCATCAATGCAGGGTCTGATTTTTTTCAGATGAACCAAGTGTTGATTCATTGGTTGCTGGATTGTTACCTGAACCTGATATTATGGTAGAAAATTGCAAAAAAACACCTTTTGGATATGCTGGATTTGCTTAATGACCATTTGATTCATTTAACAACCATATTATTCTTTTAACAGCCATGGTAATTCACCTAAAGACTGTTATGAAAATGATCATAAAATTGAGTCAGGTGACGCGAAGACCCATTTAATGGCTGCAACTTACAACCAAAGTTCATAAGTTGAGGACTACACACACATATATATTAAAATCTTATTTCAATTCCCTAAATATATTTTGCAGTAAATTTCCAAAATAATTAGGATGTGGACTCTGTCTACACAGAAACACATTTGATTAACATATGTTTATATGATTGTAGCCTAAGTGTGCTTTACTAGATATAACCTTTTCCTGTTGTGATAGTTTAATTCAGTCAAACTTCAAGATTTTGAACTGGATTTAGTGTGTTCAGACTGTTTACAAATCGCTTATGTTATTTTCTATTTTTGAAGACCAGTAATTATTAACTAACAGTTAATAATTCTTTCTGTAGAAAGGGTTTTCACTGAATTCACTGGAACATTCTTCTAAATAATCATATTTGGGATTGTACTATATAATTCCCAGAAAAACACAGTTTTCATTTTTATCCTTTTATGAAAGTGAAATTCTAGAAACCAGGATTCTTCACAAATCATCACAACTGCAGTAACCAAGATTATTATTTTAGTAAGATCAGTTTTGAGGAAATAGAAGAAAAAAGCACCAGGACTATTTGTAACATCCCCCAGTTTACCTTCTGTATTTTCAGTTTTCTGAAAGCAGGCCTACCACTATAGTCTGTCTATATTCTATAAAACCCTTCAGATTTCTAAAATGTTAATAAGAAAAAACCTCAAGTTTGTGCAAAAACCTCAAGTCCTACACCCTATATGCATTAATTAGTGTTGATAACTATCTTTCTTAGCAAACAAGAGTGAATAGTTAATCAACCTGTAGCTTTTAAATGCCTGAGAAAATTTAATCTGTACCTTCTAAGAATGAATTTAGCAACACTGCTATCAAAATTACTTGTACATAAACCCCCTAGAGGCTTCAATTGAATATAATGGGATCTAGCTCTAGATTATCCTATGTTGCTCTCATTGTAATGAATGACTTTTTTTTGGGAAAGCAAGCAATATGACTTTTCTATTCTTAAATTGAAAAAAAAGCAATTAAAAAATTAAATTTTCTGAACCAAATTTTCATAGCACTATGTTTAAGCTTAAACCTCAGGCTAGTTGAGTTTATTATGAATGGTCATTGCACTAGCAATAGCTCTTAGACTTATATACTGCTTCATAGTGCTTTATAGCACTATTTACAGCAGTTTACAGAATCAGCATATTGCCCCCAACAATCTGGATCCTCGTACTGACCTTGGAAGAATGGAAGGCTGAGTCAACTGATCAGTATCAAACTCCTGGCAGTGGGAAGAGTTAGCCTGCAATACTGCATTCTAACCACTGCACCACCACTGCTTTATTTATTTATTTAATTTTGATTCCTAGTGCTTCTGAATAACTTAAATATGCTTAGTTATATACAGGAGCAGGTAGGAAGCATTGTTTTTGACTGATTAAAACAGCTATGTCTCCTTGTATGATTACTATTATGTGGGAATTGTTCCTATCAATTGTTCCTATGTGTAGACGTGGATACATGTGCAGTCATGCATTGCATTGAATAAACATGACTGGATAATCTGTTTATGATTCATATTCATATATACAACAGTTTTAAAAGATGACAAGTTTGCTATGAGACAAAGACATTGCTATGAAAAGATTGCTATTTAGTAAAAAAAAAACATGGGAGTAGAGCTGAAATCACATTGTCTTCTTGATGTTTCTATTCAGTTCAGTCTTTTTTATTTGATATTCATGGACTAAAGTGATCCACCTATCATAAAAATTAAGAGCTATAGAATGGTGTAATTCCTAAAAGGGCAGAATTGCCAGAATTCTTATCCTGGGTTTGCTATTTTTCTTGGACTTTCAGGTAGATACACAATTATTATGAACTTTGGGGTGCCTTAATTTCTTAGGCAGCTATGTAGATCTTTATCAGTTTCACATTGCTGCAGTAGGAGAGGAGGAAGCAGTACCCCAGCAGGCTAGGTTACAAAGGAATTGCTGCCATTTTGCTGACGGTGTAGCCTTGTTTTGAGAAGAAAAAAAATACAGTGAATCATCTTTTCTCCTAGAAGAGCCACTTGCTGAAGCTTTTGGTGGCTCCAGGAGAAGATCTTGTATGATTCTTTTATTTATTGAGAGAATGTGGACTGAGTCTTATAAATGAGATATGAAGGCTGGTGAAGGTGGTTTGGGGAACAAGGCAATCCAAAGGTTGCTCTTTGCCTGGTCTCTGCCTTCTGATGCAATTAGCAGCTCATCATCAGCAAGATAGGAAGGTTGGGTGGAGAAGCCACTGTCATGTCCTCTGGCACCTGCTTTTTGCTGGCAAGGGATCAGAGTCACTGAGGAGAAGCGGTAGGCATCTAGAACTGAGGAACACCTGTGAGGCACTCTATAGAGATCTGATGCTTCAAATATATGATCGATATCGGAGAAAGGAACAAGAGCTTGAGTAGAGTCACATGAGCTCTTCTCTGTATCCTCAGAAATACAAGACTGGGCACAGCTTTCCTGGACCTGACTCTTCTGCTTCAAAAGCCGCAAATCATCTCTAAAATGGGGGTTAAAGAGTAAATAAAGCAAGGGATTCAGGCAGGCTGGCAGGGGCAGGACCACCAAAAGCACAGACTTGATGACTTCGGGGGTGATGAGAATGAGGCTAAGCATGGAAGAGAAGGTGAGAAAAGCCACCGGGCAGTAAAGAAGGCAGTTGGTGAAAATGAGCCAAGCAACATGTTTGATCATAGCACAGTCCCAGACAGAGTCAAACTCACCTTTCAGCAGGTTGCAATAGAGGCGGATGTATGTCCCAGTGATAATGAGGAAGCAAAGTGTATTCACTAGCACCAAAGCGACCATGAAACCCAACATGGAAGGTTTCCCATCAGGAAGTAGGTGGGGCAGACAGAGAGGGGATGCCCCATACTCCCCAATGGAGAAGAGGGGTAACATTGCAGCCACTGAAGAGAGGATCAGACAACTCAGGGCACCTGCCTTGACAGAGCCAAAGGAAGGAACCTTTCCATATGTCCGCATGCACGATACCGAAAAGCTGCACTGCACTGCAGCAAGGGTTAAGAGCAGAATGGAAGCTTCTGAAGCAAAAACTGACAGGAATCCAGTCACTTGGCACCCTGCACCCATCTCCCACCTGGCCCCGTATTTTGCAAAATGACCAAAGGTGACTGCATCCACAAATGCGAGAATAGCACAGTATATCCCTGTTAACATATTGGCTCCAGCAATGGATCCAATGATAAACTTGATTGGGGACAGATAGCCTGGCGAGGCAAAAACAACCACTATAACCAATCCATTGCACAGCACAGAAACTAGCATGATCAGCCAGACACCCAGGCGGATGACCCAGCTTTCAAACAGATGATCGCAGGGCTTGAAAGGACCTGGAAAGAAGGAAGGAGCCAAATTACTAAAAGAAAGAAAAAAATCACTGCTACAATAAGTGGCACAAAGACTGCTGAGGATCCATTCAAAAATGTCTTATAGTTATCCATATTGCCTCACTTGCATTTACAGATGATGATGATAATGCCAAAGAAGGTTACCAAAATAGAGAGCAGCTGTTCTGAAGCCAAAGGCACAAAGCAGTAAATTATCTTAATCCATCATTTTTAAGGTCATTGCTGCAATCAAAGTTTTGCAGCTGACCTTTCAAAAAAAAAAGTTCATTTGGGATATTATATTTGGCTTCCACTAATTGTAGGAAGAAACAAATAAATAGGAGAAAAAAACCTACTCTTCAAGACTACTGAAAAACCTGCTTATTTTCATCTGTGATTTCAACAAAAGCTGAGCCAAAGTGTGGTTTTGTTTCAGATAAGGGTACTGTGTGTGATTTCTAAAATATGTTTTAGGACTTATTGTGACATGATTTTTTTTCATAGTATTAGAAATTAAAAATTTGCTGTATATAAAAAAGAGGTAATCAAATTGTTGCATTTATTACCACTGCATTATTCCTAATGCAGTGACAAATGCATTTCTTATCAGCAGCCTTCACAGTGGCACTTTTTCATGCCACTCTTATTTTAGGCTTTTGTGGGCTTATGTGTCTAGAGATACTTAAAATATCCGTAATTTTTAACAACACTGAGATTGTTGTAAATTATATTGTATGTATTTTGGTAATGTTCTTACCAGGGCTGGGTGTACATTGGATGTTGGGATGTAGTTTTGAATCATCAGGGTCTAGCTGGAAATCATCCATGTCTAGGTCATCTAAACAGTAATAAAGAAATTACAAGCATGTTAATACTTAACTTGCTTTTATAC